AAATAAAAATCTAAAACTTGTGAAAGCCTGATAAAACTAGGAGGGGATACCTTTAGGAGATCTCTGTTACGATTTCTGACAGCCAGACAAACTTTTGCACACATGCATATGTATTCTCTCCAGTCTGTTCCAGCAGTTGCCCATGGTGTCCCACCCTCCCCAGTTCTTTGATGTGGTTATTCATTCAGCAGTTTTCATAATTGAAAAATTATTCTTCTGAGTATCACTACAAAAGAGAAAACTAAAGAGGCTGACAAAATGCTGCAACATTCATTTTTATCGTTAAAGGCAGATGTGGTATATTTTAATCTCAGAAGCATGTGAGACTCAACAGGCATTTGATTACTCACATAATGCCATACAGGATGCAGTATGCATATTCTTACACATGCAAAGGCATCTGAGGGCAGACTGACTAATGCCATTCTTCACATAAAGAGATCATCACATCATCATCTTGCATCAAAAGAAAACTCTCCTCCCTGCATTAGTCAAAACCCCCTCTTTGTTAGGCTAAAATCAGTATCAAATCACACTGCTGAATAAGTTCCAAATAAATTAACTGAACTTTTGAAATTCTGAAATCCCCCCCCCAATTTTTGCTCCATAGTTACTTAAGGAGGGGACTGTGCTTAATAAAAGGATGTTCTGGTATTTCAGGAAGGGTTTCACTCTTAGCAGCCGAGAAAGAACGAACTAGTTATCACTAAATCTCTTCCTGGTCAAGGAACACTTCCTGCCTGTGACCGTGTTAATCTGTAACGTATAATATCCTACTTCACACGTGTGGAATGACATGGGATAGATAATCATTCCTCTTCAGCAGGACCCACTTGGAACCCGCTTTTGATGTCAGGAGTCATCAGTCTGCCAGTTAAGCATAACTGTGGTTGAATGTGTCTTTTAATTGCAGGTAGTTCACTAGAAGACTTCAGTGGGAGGTTATACATGTGCACTGCAAGGTATATAATGCTATCCCTGTGGCATGAGCAAAGATTTTTCAAACAGTAATTCATCAGAGAGCTTTCTAATGCCCCAAACAAAGAACACCCAACAAGGAATAACAGAAAAGGTACTAGCAGTCTCTCCTCCCACCACTATACCGTTTCTCATCAAGTAACGTCTCAATGTAAACAAAATGGAAACTATAAAACTCAGTGGATAGACCACAGGAGACCTGTGCAACGATCGGCTCTGCCAAACTGGAATTTCAACTTGCTTTCATCTCACAAAATAAGAGTTTTCATTTTGCTAGTACCACTCTGACAGGTAAAGCTCAAAAATGCTACATAGTTTAAGGTCTTGCAAAAATCCTTTTAACCTGTTCCATAACTGTGATTTAATGTCAAATTCTAGTCCCATCCCTGACCTTCTGCTAATTGACTTAATTGCAGTTTTTATCTATGTGTTCTCATCTTCAGTGTCTCAGAAGCACAGTCGCTTACATTAGCAGGATTTCCTGTTTTACAGTAGCTATGCTAAAGCTTGCTGAATCTGTGCTCTGCAGAGCCTCAAAACTCTGTGTGAACACCACAACTTCTGCTGTTCTGCAGAAGTATAAAAGTGAACAGTAGAGTGCCCTTGTTATCTCCCTGGTTGACTGCTAGTTACAAATCCAGTGATCCAGGTGAGTAGCATGACTACTTTTTAGAAAGCCCTTGCATGCATGGTGAGGCACTAAGTTTTGTTAATTGGGCTATTAAACTGCTGTTAAAATTTGAAATAAATTGAGGGCTCTGCTAAAGTGCCATTCAGTGAGAAACTAAGCTTACTGATTTCAGACTGTCTGCACTGCATCTAAATCCTATTCTTCTCAGAAAGGCTGAAAAGAGAATGACTGAATTTGCTTTATACCCCTCAAAAGAGCAACACATAACCTTACTGCTAGATTACAAATCTCTTGAAAGCGGATGTGCTAATCTCACTAATTCAGTGAAGATGAAACAACCTTCCAAACTCATATCCTACCAGGAAGAAAGAAGTTGCTTTTTCTTGACAAAATCTATGAGATAATTGGTTAATTCGTATTTCCTATTATTTCAGAGCTCATTATAAACAAAAGACAATCCGCTTGACCTGCAAAGCTTTTCTGTTTTTCTTTAAAGACACACCTAATACTTCAAAATAGCAAATGTTTTTCTATATTCTATTCCTGGAGGTCCCTCTAGTGGCTAAAGTATCAAGCTTATCTGGTCTGGTTTAATCGGCTACAGGTGTTTTGTCTCATTTTTTGGTAGATATTTCTCATAATAGACATAAGCACTCTCTTAACATTGATAATTCCTCCTCCTAAATAAACTGACAGTGAAATTAAAAAATTCATCACATCAAGAAAAAGGAAAAATCGTTGGCACTTAAAGGAAACTATTTCATGCCGTTAGAATATGATGTGTTACTGCTTGCAAGACTGCTCAACTTTGCCATTCAACCACAGTCACAGTTGTTCTTGGTTTTTTCTTTTACAGGTCTATATTAAGACAATGAAATGCATTACCTTATTATCAGAATGTCCTCTGACATGGTCTTTTACCTGAAAAAGTCTGTCGTGTTCAGGTATGACGACTGAATAATCTGATGCGTAACCCTCTTTTTAGGGTACATATCTTTTTAAAGAGATTTTGAGATACTCTCTGAGGAGTAAGCTTGCATTTAAAATTCAGAGTTTTTTAGAACCCAACTACTGCGTTTCTAAATTATAGGCTAGGGAAAGGCAAAATCTGTAGTATACAGTCATTTGTTGCTACTTTTTTCAACTGGAGATACCTATATGGCCAAGAGGCAAATCTCCATGTGAGCTCTAGGCTAGAATTTATCATGCTAGTTACAATACCTTGGCAGGTGACAAGAAGTGTAGACATACTAAAAATACAGTTGTACAGAGATGACATCTTATGCAACACTGCTTCTCACTACTCTCCCAATTCCTCTCATTCCGCTGTAACAAGAGCAAGGGCTGTTTATCTCAAGATCCCAGAAGCACCTACAAAGACTGAAAACTTAGTATCATCTTCTTGCTGTTATTTTGTCACCATGCCTGGTACAGGAGCACTGTTCCTAAAGGGTACCTCCCTAGACCTGCACTGCTCAGCGGAGCTTCTAGCTCCTTTTTCTTTTTCCTCTTTCACCTGAGGAGCTCTGCTTACTCTATCGCTGTCCCCACTTTCAGCTGCATCCCTTTAGTATTAATTAGCCACAGATGTGCATGCCTGTTTCTAGTGCAGGGCTAACTGGTCGCAGCCTAACTGGTCCTCAGTGGGACAAGCCACCTTATTACAATCACATAAACGGCAACAATGGAATTGTTCATTGAAGTGCTGCATTTTAAACTGGGAAAGAAATAGGACAAAGTAGCTTATAGAAGTCTTCCTGTTTTGAATACAGGAGACCTGATACTCTAAAGGGAGAGTGATTCAGTGACTTCTTTTGATGCAACAAAATCCAAAATACAGCTCATTTACTTATCTGCCTTAAACTAAGTCAGAATATGGTAATCTGATGCAGCTGGAGATCTGACTCTAGCATCTTTTCAGTACTGACTTACATGGTCTCTGCCAGGTCTTTTCAATATAGAGGTCCCTCCTGTTCAGTTTTTTTGTGGTGGTATAGATTATGCTTAACAGGAGATGAATCTCTTTGCACTACTTGTAAAACAATGGTCTCTCTTGCACTAGTAGTTTAGGGCTCCCAAAAGGCTGGTGACAGGGTAGGGAACATGAGAGTGTTTTCTAAGAAAAAGGCTGATAGCTTAAGCCTGTGTTTCCCATTGAAAACATGTCTGTGATTTAAGTTCAGTTAATAATCTAGGCAAATACTTGAAAGAGAACAGCATAATATTTGACATTTACCATTACAAGCAATGATACATGAAAATTAAACCCTAATAAACTTTGTAGTTTGATAGGTAGCTGTCAATGCAAAAGGAGAAGAAGAAAACAAAGAAAAATAGGCTGGACTTTAACTTGATACAATACCCAGATTTGCATAATAAATAGTAAGAAATTGTAAAAGAGAGCACCAAATTGCTGTAAGTATATTGAATTTTAAAAAGCATTTTCAGTTCTCCAACAGAGGAAAGTTCCAGTCTCTAAGCTCAGACTTTAATGACTGGAGTTCAGCTCCCAGTTCTCCCACAGACTTCCTGTGCGACCTCTGGTGTGTCATTGTTCTTATTTGTGCCTCAGGTTCTTAATTTGTAAATGGGATAATAGCACTGTCCTCCTTTGTAGTTGCGATGATAAATGTGGTTGCACGTTAAGCACCCGGATTTGCTGGGGAAGAGGAGAAACAGGATTAGTCAGTATAAAGGTGGGGATGCTTTGGAACACCGTATAAAGTTCTGGTGTGCAGACAGAACTAATAACATTGGGATTTTAAATCAAGACATTGTGTTTTGAATGGAAACACGGACTTGAATGAATGCTTTAACTGCTGCTGATACTCTACAGAGATTTTTCTTTTTCCTTGCATCTGCCACTGCTGTGCAACTTCACTATGTGAACAAACATGGAAATGGACATAACCTGGCTTATCAGCCAGATAGACACAGACTTAGTTGCCACTGATAACACCGATCTTTTAAGTTACAGGCCAACCATTGTACACATTAAAAACAAACATGGTCCATCACCACATCAATGGCTGGAGTTAATAATCGAAGGGGGAGAAACGGGAATCTGTTGAGGATACAGCAACTCAAATGTTATGTTAGAAGACACAGTTCAACTCAATAAATAGTCAAATAAAAGTTACACCTTGTAAGACAAAGGAGTGTAAGTAATAAGTCATTGCACTTACACTGGCAGCGTGAGCAAGACTATGGGAAGAACTGCCATGAATTTGCAGTATAGGAGGTGCATTCAGCAGCTTACAAAACTTTTCATCTCAAGCATCTGTAAGATAGTAATCAATTATGAATCTTCGTACTCAGCATTATTTCCCTCTTAGCAGATTGACATGAGGGCTGGAAAGCTACCAGGAAGAGAGACAGATGCATGGGTGCAATGACTGGTCAGAGTGGCCAGCAAGCCTTAGAACTCTCCAGAAAAGGTAATGACTGTCTAGGAAATGGGTTAATAATGAACACATTCTGCTTTGAGCAGAGGGGAGAACATACAAAAAAAAGATTTGCCTGACAGAATACTGCCATTTAAATAGTCCTTAGAAAGATAAAAACATACACGATTTCAACAGAGAAGACACTTGCCAAAGAATAGTCCAGGAGGGACTCAAGACTGAGATGGTCTTACTCAGGGTCTGGCACATGAAGAGTTTAGCCTCAGACCCAGTATTGCTCCTTTGATTAGCTTAATCTACAGTTAACCACTCAGTTCTACATTAGAGAACTTGTGCTTGGGCTGTGACTTTCACAGTGTCAGCACCTGGTGCTTTCTGACAAAACCGTTAGTCAAATCTGGACAAAAATAGCCAGTGCCTTCAGCACCATATGTTACAACCTGGTTCAGCTTTCAGAGAACATTTATTGATTAAGGTCCTGCTTAATTTCAGGTTTTTATACTTTAAGCAACGGTCACCATTGTAACAAAGATCAAAGATAAAGAACTTTTTATGACTGCGATGTAATGGAATTTAACACAATTATATTCTTAGAAATATAAGCATTAACAAAAACATGGATAGGTAAAAAATAGTGACATGTGGACATGTAACAGAAATTGTAAAGCAATCCAGAGTAATTACACGGGTCATCATGAGAGAAACAAAATCTGTTCTTCTCTTGAACAGACAGAATTTGGCTGACTGTTTTATGTAATTTTATATTCTAATCAAAGGGATATGTCAGCAATACATTTTCTAAAGGTTTTAGAAACAAAGCACAAAGGAATCCAGACTTGCAGAAGAAAGGCAAATTTAAAGCCTATGAAAATAGCAAAATCTGTATTGAGGACATTGAATGTTTATGTCATACATCAACTTATGCCAAAAAAACCAAAGCCCCAGTACAAACATAGGAATCATACCACTTATTTTGATAGTGAAGGACAAAAATATTTGAAGAAATACATTACTATGATCATGAAAAAGTTGAAAAGCTTGGGCATATCTTTGGCTTCTTCAAAGTAGCTTTGATTCACAGCAGCCAACTGAGCTGCTATAATTTATACCAAATGAGGTCTGCTATGTATCAAGAAAGCCCCACAGGCAAGTTACCTAAGGAAACATGCTGATGCAACATTTGTACTCTAAACACAGAATAAATCCCATAAATGAATGCACTTTTAAGGTTGACATGCTGTGCACCAAAATTTGAAGTCATCAGTGAAGATAAATGGACAATGTTTGTTTGGAAACCTAAATCATTAAGAGAGGACTTAGACTGCAAACATGTACTCTGGGAAATTTGTTAAAGATTTCTGCAGCTGGGGAAAGCGTGTGACTTCTCAAAGGGAATGAAGGATTAGTCATGATACAGTTACTCAACATTCAAGCTATTGGAATAATCTGGAAAATTAATTTAGAAAATACATTCACAGCTCAAGTCTATTTCTGCTGGTTGTCTGTTTCTGAAAATTCTATGCTCCACTACCACTGCAGAGAAATGCTTATTATTTACATCTCCTTCTGTTTCACAGGGCTTATTTTCATCCCAGAGAAAAGCTATCGGTATCATTATACACCAGCAATGTTTACTTTTATTTTCATAGGGACCGGTGTGCCAAGTAATCTGGTAACATCTTCCTCTTCCCAAAGAGGAAAAGGGAGCAGCAGCAAACCGCACTGGTAACAACAGCCACCTCAATGCAACTTCAGCCCTGCAGATGGTCATGCCTGTTGCAAAGGACAGCCAGCAGGTAGGATCACTAACTCCACTGCGTATATTAAGAGCTGATTGTGATTCAACCAAGAGGAGATCATTACTTACTCCACATTCTCTTTCCCCTTCATTGTCTGAGTGACCAGCAGCGACATAAAACAGTCATTGCTACTCTTTCTTCCTTTCGAATAATGAAGTGTATTGAAAACTTGCAGATTTTCTGTATCAGGAATTTCACGAGCTGTTTGTTGCTGTCCACTGTCTGTGTTCTAGATTGCTTTCTGTAGTGTTTATTCTGTTCAATACTTTGGTTTTCTTACATAAGTAGTAGTTAACTTGCTGTATTTGTCCTGTTCTGCAATTAGACGTCAGCAATGTTCTACTATTGCGCTCTCCACTGTTTAGACAACCTTTCAGCGTGCCCTAGGAATAACCCTCTGAATCTTCGTAGACTCGTGTATCTAGCTGATCCTTGGCTACTGTTTTGGGATGGTATTAGCAGACTGCAGAACTATTGCAGTCAGGCAGTTGTTTACAGCTGTTTCTGAGACAGCAAAGTACAGAGGTGGACCCATGCCTCCTGCTCTGCTGCACTGTAGGTTTCTGCTCCGTGGGATTCTTCTCCCGGCCCCATGAGTTTAGGACATGAACATGCACTAATGTAACTGTACACTGTGCTGCTCTCTTTTCCCCTTTCACGTGTTTACTGTTCTCTCCTCATCCTCAGCCCCTGAAAACAATTCCCAACAATATCTTTGGGCACAGATGATGTCTTCAGCTCAGTGTCTATTTTAATATTTGCTTTTCTAAACTTTTCATGTAATTTTTATTTTACAAGATTGCATTCAGAACAGCAGATTATCTGAATGTTAGGTGACAGAGTTAAGGTAGAAAAAGCCCTCTTATTTGAAGGTTTCTGATAAAAGGAGGTCAACTGCCTGTAAAGACTCTACATTCAGACAGGATCATAGGGAACATAGACAGAAATGCTGACAAGCCAGGGTTTAACTAATTTTATTCTTCATTAACTCTTCATATTCATCTGGGAAAGAATCTTCTAGTGAGTTAAAACAAATAAAATCAATAATTAATAAAGGTGAAAGTCATCCTTGTCTTCGGTAAATTCTTTGAACTTTGTATAATTCTTTTTATTCTAACAGATAGCTCAGGGGAACTGCTTATGTAAATAAAATTAGGTGCACACATTCTCAAAGCACTAGGTTTATTATCTTCAAAATAGGGTTTTTAAGACCTTCATAGAAGTAAACTGAATGTCTGCTAATTAGCATCACCCCAGATGAATATGTAGCCTGCTTCAGTTTTATATTTAATATTATTCAGCATTATACGCTACATACGTTTTTGTTTCATCAATATTCTCATGGCCAGTGTGGAACAGGACACAGCATATTGACAGTAATAAAAGTTACACGTTTCTATAGCTACATTTTAACTTTGCACTTCAGTAGCCAATAATAATTCCATAGACTTCTAGTTTTCAGCTGTTTCCATGAGACTTGTGGCAAGTGAAAAAGTGGCTTTTTAATCTTTTCTAGACTTGCATTCTGTAATTAGCTAGAAGTTACATGTTCATCTACACTGGTTTTGGGGTTTTTTAAGCAAATGTAAATAGCACTGTTATATCCCCAGTATGTAGCTCCACACTCTTGTAATTGTAAAAACTTTGCAGTTTTTACCCAGCTACATTACGATTCAATTTTATAGTGGAAATACTAATAGAAATTCTGTTAAATCTCAAACACAAGCACCTCTCACAATGCAATAACTACTGAAGCACTATTCGCAGCTCTTGTCTCCTGCATAGACCCACACTGTGACATCATCTACGAGGGGATGGCTCATGGATCTAGCATCAACTGTGAAACCTTTTAAATTCCTGGAATAAAAAGCTTACTTGTCAGGATGGACAATTTAAGCTTCTGTTTATTTGCCTGAGGAAACCTGGGATAGCACCATAAAGTTAACTGTGTAAGCATATTTCTAGTTTTATTTAACTATTAAGGGCATTTTACTGTGCCTTGATCATATGGGTTACTTGGAGTAACTGGAATTTTTAAAAATCTCCTTCTGTGACAGATAAAAATTCATCACCCCTTTTACCTTTAGCATATGAAGTATTCAGTTGTCTGGATAAGAGCCTTGCCTGTATGGCAAGTGTAATGGTAAGGCACCCCACTAAAGCTGTGCTACATTAGAGCACTACAAAACTTGTCCCTGCATAGCATCATGTATTTAAGATCTATAGCTACATTGCTACTATGGTAAACCAGGACCTTGCACTTCCAGAAGCAATGGCACCTCTTCACTGAAACTGTGCATCTATCCACCTCTCTGCAGAGTTCCATCTATAGAAACTGGATTGATATAGTGGGGTTTTGTTTGTTTTATTTTTTATTTTCATCACAGCACCTCAGACCTACACACACACACACCCTGCCCCCCAAATACCCCAAACCACTCAACATTATATTACACACTGTAGAAATAGGGAAGAAAACCCATCTCTTCTAATAGCAAGTTTGCTCTGTAATTGCTCTTTTCAGGACCAAATTATGCTGGGTGAGGCAGAAGCCAGTTTAACACAGCTCAGAAAGTTTGGCTGTTGCAGTGGCTGAGGTATTTCTAGAGCAGTCAGGAAGCATATAAGGCTTAATGGTTTTGCTGGCTGGTTTGACTGTAGATATAAACAGGCCTTGATGAAATTCAAACACCAACAAAAAAAATAAGAGAGGAAATATTTTGTTGCATATAGCTTCCTTACAGCCATCTAAGAAGACTAAAATTCATCTATGATTTACAAATCAGTTTGGTCATTACTGGAACAAACCTTTAGAAATGACAAGGAATTTTTATAAATATTCTTATTCGTTCCTTCACCTATGAGTTTCATCTCAATAAAAAGCAGGGATTGCGAGCGGGGAAAAAAACTGACCAGGGCAACACTTTGAATGTGTATAAACATCAAGTGAAGGGAAGCATCTGTTACTCTATTTCTCTCCTACAGCATCTTAACCTCTGGTCAAGCACAGAATTCCCCATGTTAGAAGATTTACCTCCTGCTTATAACTGGCTACTGCCGTGAGTACACCTGCCAGCAAAACTGTTGGAGATGTAGGGAAAGCATGTGCGTATGGGGAAGCGACTGAGGCTTTTAGTACATGGTGAATTTGACAGACTTGGAATCCCTGTGCCAACACATGCCTCTTGTCCATCTGCAGGCAGAGATGTTCCTGACTATCCCAAATATTTAAGAATAACTGAGAGGTCCCTCTTTCTCCTCTACACTGAAGCAGTCCTTAACAACCTTAGGTCAACAATTTTCATCTCTATGCCACATTCAGACACTTTCTTCTGTGCTTTGCAGCGTTATAATCTCCTCGTTCATTTAGATCTGATCTGAACCTATCTGATAAGTAACAAGTAACCCGAGAAAGAGTGCCAAAGAGCAAATTGGCTATGATTTGCTGCAACTGTGGGTTAAAAAATCGATGCTAGCCAGAGGAAAAGAAAGGACAGGCTTCCTTGCAGTGGGTGATAGGCATATATTTAAAATCTAAGGTTGGCAGGTCTTGCTATGTGCAAGAGATCCAAATTTCTGAAAAAATATTTAAAAGATACATCATAGTGCATTCAGTGGGTCTGATTTCTAAATGTGCATCATGGCCCAGTGAACTCAGGTGCTTAAGCCTGAAAATTCCTGAAATTCACAACCACATCCAAATGTAATTTCAGTTTTGTAGTTAATGGAAAAACAGAGATTAATTTCTTAGCAAGGAAAAAGCTTAGAACAGTTAGTGAACAATTTTGCCACTACCTTTTTTGCACAATGCACTAAGTTGAAAATTGTGTCTGCAGTTTTGTTATATTTAAGAAACAAAACAGACTAAATTATTTTCCTAAGATTTGGAATTCTCACAGTACACCTTGCATATGGTTTATGCAAAAGAGATTCTTGGTTTTGAATAAACTTTCCCTTTGAGCTTCAAAATTTACCTAAAGCACTAAACAAACTTTTATAAATAGATGATGAAAGCAGTCCCACAAGGAAACACAGTGAAGGGTTTTTTTTCCCCCCTGTAAAAATTGCTCTTTGGCTACAAGGATGACACTGAAAAAAAAAATATTGTACACACGACAAACTTGAAAAGAGGGAAAGATTATTTCAGCATAGCTTGTAAAATGGAATTTGTAAAGACTGGTACTTAGCTTAATGCGAGGGGCCAACTTTGTGAAGTCAGCTGTTGGCATTGGGAAACATTTGTGAACTTTTTCAGATTCTACAAGATAGATATATTAAAATCCTAAGCAATTAAACATACTAGCTGATCTGAGCAAAACCTCACTAGGTTGTTTCAAGCCTTTTCAGTTCCCAAGTGGTGATCCATTTTATTTTCTAACAACCTCTGCTTTCAGTAGTATTCATTGTGTCCTTTGCTTTCAACAGTACTCATTTGCCAGTGTCCATGTGCAATCCAGCTTCAACTAATATTTTCAGGTATGGTTTTGTCAGCCTTATCTGAACGTTGCCATTCCTGAAGCACTTGTTTTGAATTGGAACTATTCCCGCATTCTTGTATTTTCTTTCAGGATGAACTATAGCTCTGGTTTTGCAATACATTATTTTCAAGAGTCTGCGTGTCACGCTGTATACCACATTACTGAACGGATTTTGCTGAAAAATGACCTGGCAAAAATGAGTTCTTTTTAAGTGAACCCAGTCTGATTCACTGTGAGGCCACACAAAGAGTTGTGTTGGCACAGCTTCAAAGTGGCGTGCCGTGCTGTGGGAACAGAACTGTGAAGGTCCAGGAGTAGCTGAAGCTGGTGTCAGTCTCCCCCCGCACCCCATATACAACATGCTATGTAAGCACAGCCAATGCCTTTATTTGAATCCAGCAGTGTTGCTGTGTGTTTTCTCTCATCTGTTCCATCTGCTCCTTCCATTGTTTACTTCCCTGATGTCTACATTTGCCTTTTATCACCTCTTCACCCTCCCAGGTTCGCCCCCCAGAATAAATCCACTTCTGTGAAATTTGCTGGCTGACATCCATATGCAAATTTCTGCAAACTCACTAAAAGTACATTATTCAAATAGCTTCTGGTGCTCTTTACTGTGTTAAGCAGATGAAGACAGAAACAAAAACACAAAGTACCTATATTTGCATCAGCATTTTGCACATTCATTTGTTAAAGGCTTGCTGCTAACCCTATCCAAACCAAAACACAATTCACTCTCCTAAAGGGAAGAATCCTGCAAATATTTGATTTGTTTCGCATCCTTGTGTCCTGGCAATTACAGGAAGGATCAGGCTCCAGAGGCATACCCTAGAAATGTTAAAACAAAGCCTACGCGGGTTCAGTAACAAGGCTCTCTTCCCACACATCTTTTTATAGCTTGCTGTTGTTGATCAGGCTTTTAAAATAATTTTTCCCTCCTCTGACATTTTGTTTTGATTATTGACTGTGCACAGATACAGTAAAGAGGAATTACTTGAAATGACGTTCTATAACAACTGCTGTTCTAGAAAGGAAACCGACAACACTGATGTTTTTGAAAGCTTCTAGTGAGGCCAATTCACATAAATATATCTGGAAACTTAACCCAAACTTCTGTTTTACTAGGCTACTTCTATGCTTCGCTTCTTTACGTAATTTTGCTTCAAGTTCCTTGTTTCTATTAATGTTTGCCCCTGTCTGGCCCTGGGTCTGCAAACTCAAAATTTCCGGTTGGTGAACACATTCCCAAGGTTACTGTCAACCTCAGCTAGCCTCTCTCTCTGTCCTAGACAAAGTATGGAAAGACCTTCCTGGAGGTGATTTGCTGTGTACTGGTTGCATTCCTCCAGCTCGCACCTCGGGCGAGCCCTCCTGTCTGAACTGAGAGAAGTGTAGTGTACTGCAGTTCAAGCTGCACTTGTCGTGACAGTCACATTTTTTTTTGTTCCCTCTTTCTGTTTGTGGAGTTCTCAACGATTTATTTGCTACAGGTGTGACAAAGCCCTCTGCAGGACAGCTGGCCATGGTTTCTGCTGGTGTGTTTCACCATCCCTAGGTCTTTATGTTTTATTTAGCAATTCCTTGACAATCATGGCAGATGATTCTGCTTTGTCATTAGTCTGTGATGCAGAAACGTTTCATGCATCATTCAAAGAATCTGAATGTGCTAAATCCTGAAAAACATTTTCCAAAGCTGCAACGTAAATACAAGCAAGGTAATGTGTATAATTGCACATAAACATATATACATCAGTCTCTCACACATATATGTATGCATCTGTTTTCCCTAACAAACACTTCTTTTTGTCTCACGTCATATACTTATCTAAACCTGCCATGGGAATATGTTTTTCTCTTCCTGGATTCCAGTTAATACCTTCTCATACCTCCCCTTCTCTGTTGCATTTACCCTGGATTAAAATACCGGGTGTCTGTCTTCACACTTAACGTACACACCAGTTCCAGTCCATCCAATCCATCTTTGGAGAACATGCTGAAACTGAATATGAATTTTAGAGTCTTTGCTCTGCCCTTCACTTCTCTGGTTTTATTTATTCTGATCCCATGCATCTGCTTTGTTCTTCATATTTATTATGATTTAATTCAAAACAGGAATGAAAGCATGGCTACTATTAGAAACAAATAATTCCATTACACTGTTGCTGGCACTGGCCCAGTGAACTCACTGATGCAATTTTCCTTGAGTGAGTACTCGCACTAAAGTCAGTAGGAGCATTTCCATTAGTAAAGTTACATAAGCATATGTGTATCTTGAGGATCGGAGCTGCAGACGTACATCCATCTCACAGGGTTCTGATAACATGCAGGTTAAAGTCAAGTTCCTTGGGTCACAATATACAGACCCTGTCACTATCGCGGCCTGAGGCCTGCTTGCTTTACTTGCTCCCTAACCAGTGGTATAAGGGTTTCATTCTTTCCAAGGAAGTATTTCTCCAAGTGTGGTTACTATTGTATCCCTGGCCAGCCTTGTGACCATTCTTCCCTTGAGCCCATTACTTGCTGTCCTAGCCACAAATATAAAGAACACATCTTTCCTATCATCCTTTTGCACTGGGAGGCTATTACATTCTCCTTTTCCCTTCCTGCAGTCTTCTCTGCTTTTGGTTACACAATTCTAATTTGCTTAAGCTTTCCTTCTCTTGTAGTGCAAGCTCACTGTCTGTTCTTGTTGCTCCTGCTCAAACCTTCTTGGGCTGGTCTGTAATTCTGCTGAAACCTGGCACCCAAACCCAAACAGAATACTGCAGGTAAAGCTCTTCTGACGAACAGCTGAGTGACTCCACACAGACTATCCTGTTTATACTGTCCTATACAGCATTTCTCTCATGCAAGAGCTGCATAGCATTGCTCATTTACGTTTGCTCTGCCTGTAACCCTTAGATCCCTTCCAACAGGACTGCAATTTAGCCCACAGTATCCCGTTATCTGTGTTGGAAGCTGACTGTTCCCGCTCAAGCGAGGTTCATTGTATTTGTTGCAGGTTTCCCCTTCCTATTTACTCGCATCATTACTGTGAGCCTTCTCTTTTTCTGACAAATAGTTAAGGCTCACTTTTTGTTAGGATTGCTAGCTCACCCTGCACCAGTAAGGGCACAGTAATTGGTGTAGTTTTCTTTTGCTCCACATGAAAGCATCGTTTAAAGTTTATAAGGCAATGGATTTGCTCTGTCTGCCACTGAAGCTGAGGGGGCCTTTGTGACTGATTTAACTTCAACAATACTGGGCCTACTGTATTACTATATTTAATCTTTTCACCTGCATATTCAAATGTACTTCTTGAGTGGGTGGAGGAATCTGATAGTGATTAAAAGTCAGGGTGTGTCCCAGCTTGCTGATCAGCATACTAGTACGGAGCAGAACTCTTACACTGCTAAGTCCTGAGAGCTAATGACTACCATACGCCTACCCTCTTCATTGAACCATTACCCCTGAAGACAGCAATTGAGGTCAAGCCATCCCTTGACTGGGCCCATTTTTACAAGATATGCCGGAAAGGCTCAAATTTGACCTTTCTTCCTTCCCTGGACACAGCCTAACCCCACTTAAAATCTAAAGGAAGGATGAAACGGACCCACGTTTCTGTCACCCGTCTGGAGGTGAATCATCTGTCATTTGTTATCACACAAGGAGGAAGAGCTGCACGTTTCACAGTGGGCTGAGCAGCAGTGACAATAGCTGGAAAGAACCTAGGGAAATCTGGGGTAAACAGCAAGAGAAGTTGTAAGGGAAAAGGAGGCTGGGGAGAGAAAGCACAGCAGAGGAGGGGTGAGGAATCGGGGACAGGAGGAAGAACAGTCCAGAAGGGAATGTACACGGGGGTAAAAATGTTTCTCTGTGGTTCTGACCTCATCACTTTTTTGGGGATAAATCCTTCAGGAAAGAATCTCTGCAGGGATTCCCCTTGTACAGTTTCCCTACAGCTGTCACAACTGTCCCCCTGAAGTTATACATCCCTGCCAATTTCCTACATCCCAGAAATCTAGAATTCCCAAATAAGAAATTAGGACCATCCAAAATGGACTAAACAGCATTAGGACCTGCAAACTCCAGCGTCACAAGCACTGGTTGTACAATGGTACAATTCTAACAGCTCCCATTTAAGAGGTTAAAGAAATAATGATTCATGAGACTGGCCGACACCTGGAGTGATTTAATCAGGCCATCCCTAATGTAAATGACATTGACTCACATTTCCAGATGTAGGTGGAACTGGCAATTGTCTTTTCCTCATAATTGTCTTAACTTGCTTTGCTAGTTAGAAATAGTTTTCTAGGTTATATTTCAAATCTGGTAATCATTAGAGGTACATTCTTTCCATAGATGTTTGTATTTATAGTCAACGGGGACATGTAGGACAGAATTTGACCTACAAACTTAAATACGTAGCAGCAGCCTAGATAGAAAAATCTGTACTTAAGTCTGAACCAGAACTAAAGTAAGGTTGCTTGATATATACATGTGTGCACAAAATTTAAAATAGGAATGCACACATTGGGGCAGGCAAGATTTTTATGGCTTTCCCTCCCTCCCCTCCTCTCCTTAAGTATTTCTGATTGCTTGCCTTTATGTAATCTTTTCATCAAATTTAATACAATGGCATTCTCACAGATAGTGGAGGGGAAAAACTTTAAATATTATGATTCTAAAAATGTTGGAATTTTCTAAAAAGTTTAACAGAAAATAGTATATAGATAGGGAGAAAGTTATGAAGTACTGGTCAACCCCCATTGTTTTTTCATCCAGCTGTGTTTATAGCCTTTGCCTGTCCTTCGCTTTCCTCTCATCCAGAAAGTACTTAGACCATGCTCCTCTTCAGGCTACCTGCCTATTCTTTCCCAAGGCATGGACTTATTCCAGACCCTTGCAATTAAACAATACTCCGTGATGTTACAGTGATGCAAGCTGACCGTAGTTAAGCTGACTGCAGTGGAATGTCATGACTTTGACCACAAAGATTTGACCCAATTACTGTGACCTGACACACTTGCAATCTAGTACAGCCTGAAGTCTCAAAGCAGTAGCTCCTGAAACCACTAGAGACTTACATGAAAGCTGGAACCAAGAAGAACAAGACTGAATTAAACCCAGGAGAAAGGCACTCCAAAAAACTGTAATTATGTCAGTTTGTTAATACATGCCTACTCTGCTTGCGAGAGGACACTGGGAGAGACGTCCACATGCTTTTTAAGAACAGAAATCTTAACAATCCAGGAGGAAGTGACAGAGCTGACTATATCCTCTTCTGAATATATATTCAAATATTAGGGACACCGTGCAGTCTGTGTGCTGACCAGTCAGTGTGTGGTGGAGCTCCACTGCCCTGCCAAGGGGTGGCAAGGCGATGTGCAGTACCTGAACAGTGTCCTGACAGCAAGGGGGCAATATTCCTAATATAAAGAACTCCTGGGTTTGTTTTTTTCCACTTGCATAGTATCTATAAAGCAGTCTTTAAAATCTTCTTCCCCACCCTTTTAAATACCAAAGTAACCTTTCCTTGCTCCATTAGCACCCTTGGCTGGAATATTGCACTGAAGTGGAACATTTGCATCTATTCATCACTGCAATCATACTGAAAGGCACAGTATTTATTCCCTGGAAGTCAAACAACAGGTAGAAGACAAAGCAAGAAAAACTGTCAATGTGCCAAATCTCACTAAAAACCAAACCAACCAAAAAAAAAGCAAGCTACTTGGCATTACTCATTGGTTTTGTCTGTAAAAGCTCCTGGAAGCTGCATGCAGAAATTTAAGAAATATCACTCTGTAAGAGACTAGGATCTCATCCAGTGTGGATTCTCAGATCCATATAGGGCTACACCATATTCTTGCATGGCTGTCATTCAGAATCCTGCATAATTTCTGGATTTGTTTTGCCATTCTGTCAGTACCACTTTTCTGCTCTTGATGCTGGAATACTTCCTGGCTTGGAATATGCACACAGGAACAGCTGTAGAAGATCATAACAAATTCCATTTAGCTCCTTACCCCATCACAGGCAGCGGCCTGCAGGGATGCTGAGGAAGTAGTATAAGAACAGGATGGAAAGCTGAAGTAACACTTCCCCAAAATAGGTTCTCAGTCTCTAATGTCATGGTTCAGAGACTGCTGGTTAAAAGAAATTGAGAAAAGTAGTGCCCTGTGCAGTACCAGTTACCAGCTGCCTTCTCTACTGTCCAGTCTTATAAAAGCTTGTGAACAAAGCTTCTGTTTCTTCATCTTATCTATTTTTGTCTCCTTCACTGTTGTTCACTACCACTGAGAACCAGAATTCCTAAACTGAAAAATCAAATAACGTGCTATTTCTGTAAAAAAATATACAAATGCAAGAATATTTCTTATAAATCTCAGCAGCTCGGTGTCATTATTCCAAAAGAGAAGTCATGGATTACCACATGATCAAATTTTGCAAGCTAGGATCTAGAACTAAACTTCAAATTAACCACTTGGGGCCTATCTATGAGGCCAAATTAACCATCAGATTACTTTGTAAATTGCTATCTATTCCAAGTTCATTGCTTGTGTGTAGATGCAAATAAACGTGTGCTATCTAGGGCAGTGATGAATGATGACTAAATGTACCCTGGAAATTCAGTCTGGAGTACTTTTTTCTAATCAAATCCTTTGTTCTGTCAGCAAGTTCCAGGGCATGATTTCTGTACTTAAGAATAGTCAAAATGTGTTATTATGACTCTGTATTAACTTTTTCCCCTTCCCCCCCCCCCCCCCCCCCCCCCCGAATACTCTATTCTATGCTCTTAGGAGATAAAGCTCCATCTCCAGTGGAAAAGTAGACTCAAACAAAAAGGTGGGCTTTGCTTTGACTACCATTATTGATAATTCAGAAGAAATTCTTATAGCTAAGACTCTTAACTAGATGAGTCTGGAATCCTATTGTTCAGAATAAACACTTAATTCTCTCTAGAACTAACATGCAGGCAGGGAGAAGAATGAGAACAGCATCTTTAAAAAGGTGATCTCTGACAGAAGTTTGGGGGCTGAGTACGGAGGTGTGGAATAGTTGTAGGGGAAGGAAATCATGAGAGGATCCATAACCACTTTTCAGAGGCAGATCAGAGAAGAAGGCTACTCCAAACAACGTTGACACAGAAAACATAAAAGAAGATACAGAGGCAGCAGTGGTGAAGCAGACAGGATACAGGCTCCTGAGAGACTTCCCTGGAGGGTTTGCTCCCTCTACTGGAACATCCTAATAGACCCACAAGAGATTTGCTAATGCAGGGTTGATTACCATTTCTGGCTTGCTATCACAAGGATTTTTTAAAGGAGTGAATATGTACTTGAATATGCAGATAAAAGCAGAGGGGAGAGAGCTATTTCACTGCTTTTTTTTTTTTGTTTTTTTTTGAAAAGAAACAAGGCATACAAGTTGAAATCTGTATTTTTCAAATCATAGGAATTTAGGGAAAGCAAGCAGACCTTTCCAGTGTTTCACGCAGTGCAGAAGAACAGCTGTTGTTATATGACCTTTGCTCTAGGACAGATTACTTGCCATCATTCCTGTAGCCACATATAGAGAAAGCCACCACCTGCCTTTTTGAACTGTATGTTCTTGTTGAGTACAGCCTGGCCTTAAATACTTTGGCTTATGAATAAATAGCCCATTCCTACAGCAAGCAGAGGCTAAACCTCTCCTAAAGTATCTTCAGATGAATACAGTGTCATCACTTCGTTATTTAGTGTTCACCTTGGATAATATAAGTCATAGTTGCATGTATAACAACATCAAGAAACCATGACTCAGACACTCATTGACACAGCTCTACTCTTGCTTGCAATAATTTGTGGTCAAGGCTCCTCTTTCTCTCTTGTAGAATTAGGGTCACCTTTGGGCTATGAGACACCCCACGTGGCTTTGGACAGATTGCAGGATCTTGCACCTTGCAAGTCAGCTTTCTGTCTGCTAAATGAGAGTCAAGGGAGACTTACTCCTTCATGCCTTTTTATAACTTAAGTTACACAGCTTTGGTGTGGAATTTGCCTCCTGTATATAATGTCCGACATTTAGTACAATCCCTTCCAATTTTAGCTGAACCTTATAAGCATAATAGTAAAAGAGTGAAATATTTGACTAAAAACTCAGCTAAATGTAAATTAATATATTTTGTAGACTCTCCAGTTTAAACAGCTTCTCATTTTCCAGTTTTCTGTCACCTCAGTGAACACCTTGGTCTACAAGGATCACTTTACGAATTCAGTGGAAGAAATGGAAACCAAGCTCTGCAGCAGCGACAAAGAGGAAATTTTCAAAAGAGAGCTACCGTACTGCATAGGAGAAATAGATTTCACAGCTTCTGGGAAGAAACGTGGAAAGGTACAGCACTGAGGAGTTTTAACCCTTTCATGCTATTGCTGTTGTTCAGGTGTTACTTCTTAGCATTAACTGTAGAGACTGTTATAGTGAGAGTCAATATGCCACTGAGCAAGGCACCACATTGTACTCAAAGTAGGGACCATACCTTCCTGAACGTGAATGTGATTTAAAATAAGGCCTATTAATATACAGAAATCAATCGCTTGACTTGCACAGACATGCTACAAGTACAGTTGATCACTTTCTCCTTTAAGAAAAAAAAAAAAGCTTGCGCCCAGCTTCCTTCATTTTGCATCATTTCCCTGTTTTAACCTCTTTCTGCCAAAAATTAATCACTGTGGATTTCCACATTTTAAACATACTTTTGAGCCGTTTCAAGACTCTGCTTAAAGTTGTCTCTCTCTGTTCTGCTAATATGCAGAGAGGATGCACATGGACAGACTCACCTCCTCACTAGTCCCTTGCAAACATTAGCGCTAGAGCAGATGGAATTCCTAGGATCAGAAATCTCCTTTAAGATTTTGATTCATCATAAGGTTTGAAGCACAAAGCCAGAATATATACAGAACAGGAAGAAGCAATAGATTCATGTAACACCTCCTTGAAAAACAGACATGAAATCAGGCAAATAGTTCAGCTAGTGCAGAAACAAGAAACGCCCAAGAAATTTCTTGGCTTTGCTACACTGCCATGATACTGAAGGCAGTTCAAGAGGAATAGCAGCATTAAAGGAGAGCCTGCAGTCTGCAACACAGAATTAACCCATGGAACTGACACAATTAGCAAGGGGACATACAGAAGCCTGCTAAATTCAACCTGGTATTTAGTTCCCTGTCAGGTCTTTTTCAAATACATTTTTCTTAAATAATTAAGTTGATGATAAATTTCCCTCTGCCTTCACCATGAATAATATGTCTACTGTATCCTACTGTGCCATTGTTATTCAGTGTTTTTTTGTTCTGTTTGTTGAAGTTCATTAAGGTCCCGAGTACCATTCATCCTGAAATTATATTCGAAGTTATGCTCAACAAATGGAAGCTACCTGCTCCCAATTTGGTTGTGTCTTTAGTAGGGGAAGAAGAAAATTTCCAGATGAAGCCTTGGCTACGGGACACCTTAAAAAAAGGACTTACAAAGGCAGCTCAAAGCACAGGTTAGTGCTTTAGGCTTTAAAGAAGGAATTTATATTCCTACTGGATGCTCACACTTAGCATCCAGTGATCTTTTAATGTCAATGGGCCTGCTCAAATGATTATTTTTGAAAGTGCAAGGCTTTGATGAATGCAACCTACAACATGTATTTAAATAGATTTGAAAAGGAAAGTTACTGTACTAAAAATAGCAAAAATAAGTTATTTCCAAAACAAGTTACTTTAGGCAACCATTCTTGAAGTGTAAAATTACCTGACATTATTCCCTCAGCGATGACACTAGAAAAATAGCATGAGATGGGATCAAATACATTGCTCCTCTTTGGTGCCATAGCAAAATAATTCTTAAAAGACAGCATAGCAATTTGTCTTCAAAAAGAGTGAATTTAGGTCAAAAATAAGAATTCTTGTTCCCTCCATTCTCCCTTTTTAGCTACCAGTCAAAACCATGTCACAATAGTTTTTGACTATTGCTTTCTTCAAATTTAAGAGTTGAACAGACTTTGATAATAAAACAGCCTATGATTAGACTCAAGTTTATACAAAAAGACCTTGGTAATGTATAACACAAAATGTCGGCTCACTTTCTTCCTGTCTGTTCACATGGATGACAAGACTAGTGGAAAGCATTAAAAAACAAAACCAAACCAATCAATGTCTGGGAAAATGGCTTTCATTTAAGATGACATTTTTTTCCCCCGTAGCTTTATAAAAATACCTGAAAAAAACTAAGTAAAAATATCTGTAAGCATTTCAGAACAAGCTCTTGGTTTAGCTTCACTGATCCAGACAAGATTGTAACAGCTTTGCTTTTTGTAATGAAACAGTCCAGTATTGAAGCACTTTTTGGTATTTTGGACCACACAGATATTCTTTTATCTTCAGCTGCCTCCTATACTTAAGACTGGACAGCATCAAGATTTCCTTGCTTTCTGTTAGATATTTGAAAAAGGTTGGTTAGCCATTTACCTAGGATTCTCCAAATTCTTTGACACCACAAAAATGCTGCTGTAAATCCTACTCTCCTGAAGAATTCCCTCTCCAACACACGTAAGAACAAGAGAAAGAGAACACCAGATTAGGCAGGTTACGCCCAAGCTCTTTTGCTACGGGTGATTGCATGGGAGCATTTAGTACCTGGTTCAAGCCAACAGCTTCCTCCACCCCATCCCTTTGCTCTTCCTCGTGCAACAATCAGACCTGCTTGGTATAGTGATGTTTCTGCTCATATTTAGGCAGTAAGCGGCTCTGGACTAGACGCCACATTCTTGATGGGCTTATTGACATCCGAGTAAAAATGGCAACATTGCATCGCGTGATATTTGAAGCACATTTGCTCAGACATATAAATTCTTCTGGTTTTCCTTACTAAAGTCTTACATACTTTGTATTTTAACTTTTAAAGTTACAGCCCATAGATAAAATGTAGACAGGGCTTGATCTAGAAGAAAACTTAAATCCAGTACTGAAAGTAATGTTACTTGACAGACAAACGTGTTCAATTATAAAGAAATTGTCTAACTATTTTTAAAAAATAATTTCAGGTGCCTGGATTTTTACCAGTGCTTTACGTATAGGAATAACAAGACACTTAGTGCAAGCAGTCCGAGATCATGCACTGGCTAGCACTTCATCCAAAGTAAAAGTGATTGCCATAGGAATAACTTCACTCGGAAAAATTCAGCACAGAGAAATTCTGGACAACACAAAGGTATTTTTCGCTTATTCTACTCATGAGATTGTTCAGAAGCAAGCTGCACCTTTAGAAAATTTAGAAATAGTAGGTAGAACTACGTTGATCTAACTTAAAAGCAAAAGTGGGGTTTAAAGTGTGTTTTGGGGGAAAACAGAAATAAAGAGCAGGCAGAATTGTTGCACTCTAATGATTCTGTGCCCTGTGCACAGAATATTTGGAAGCAATTCTGCCAATTTCCAGCAGGTGACAGCATTCGACATTAGCTCAGCGACCAGAGTAAGGATGAACTTCAGGGAAAAATCTTGCATCATAAAGTACCTTTAATCTCTTGTCCACTTTCTGCAGAAGCATTTACTCCAAGCTATTTCAAAAGTAGTGTAAAAAGTGTATTTTCTAGTATGGAACATAAGTCACAAGTATTTCGAGCCCAAGTTTTCTTAAGTAATCATTGAATTGGTGCCCAATATGCAAAAACTTGCTCAACACACCAGGCTAAAAACGCTAGCCATGCAGGATTTCGTCTAGTTACTGGGAGCTCTGAGGACTTCAAAATTCAGGTTAAAGCAGTCAGAGTTCTTGGGGGATGCAGGGGGGAAACGACAACAATAAACAAACAAACAAATGAAAAACCTCACCCAGCAAAACAGCTGCTGAAAATGTCAAGATGAGTTGATGCTGCATCGACCTGGAGGTAGAGGAAAAAAGAAATTATGGCATGACCTTCTTGTCGCTGGATATGCAGTCTCTCCTTAGCAGCACAGCACTGTACCAATAGAGTAGGTGTGTAAAGACAGTGAATGACAGTTCCTCTGTGCTATTTGACTTCCCTGCAGAAGCTAAGAAACAAATGACAAGCACAGCCCTTTGAACTCACACCCAGTTCTTCTCTCAGACTAGCAAGTACCAGCTAGCACCTGGGAGACTGCCAGACCATATCAGCTATTTATTGTCATTGGGATTCCCCTTTTCCCATCCTTTTTGCTGAGGACAGTTACCTGTGTGTTCTACTAGGTGGGACTCTTTAGCTGGAAGACTTTAAGATATTTGTGTGGCTGACCTGGTCTGAAAGGTCCTCAGAGGAAAGAATTTGGTTCATTTGTGAATTTTGTTCAGGAAAGTTGCTTTGGCAAATGCAAACTAACTATTTCACCTCCCTCCTAGGCCAAGTGATCAAAATGCATCTGGAGCTTTCCCAACCAGCAGCTACAAAACAAGTGCATTGGTCTTTTTATTGCATTAGATTTTCTCCTCCTAAACTAAAACCTGAAGTCTTTGCCAAGGAGTGTTTTGTGTGGAGCGTTCCTGACCCCATGACTTCTGGCACTGCTTCCACCTAAAGACATTCTGGATTTTAGTCAGTAAGTTTAGGACAAAGGAACTACAGACAGGGATGTTGATCGAAACCCAGTTCTCTTTATACTTGGCACTAACACAAGCAGCTTCTTGTACAAAACAGAGCTAACAATCCACACTAGCAAGGAGACAAACAAGCCCTGAAATCAGTGGATCCCTCTCATCTCTTCTGTGCTAATGGTATGCTTTAAACACCATTGAAAGATCACTTCCACGTTTTCAGAGAATACATAACAAAATCCCTGTGGGCCTTTTTCAATTGGTTGTTGTGCCTCTGGGTCCTAACCAAAGGCCAGATATTTGGCAAGTATGCTTAATTTTACATGGCAGCAGAATATAGGCACGCCCTCTGTCAAAACAAAATTTGAAGGTGAATTAATTGTGTCAAGAAGCTTTTCCCAACAAATGAGAGACAGAAAGGAGGTAAAAAAATTGTGGCACTTGCTGTTTGTAAACAATGTGCAAATTTACTGCATTTTTTCCTGGAACAGCCTCTGATGTTCCTACTGCTTCCAGAGCTGCTGACAGGGAAAGCCATAGGAACACACCTGATTATAGCCTTTTTCACCTTGCTTTGAAGGAGATTTCTCCAGTTTTACTTTATGCAGCTTCATTTCAGAAAGCCACTTAGGGGGATGCTATGCAGTGTGCACAGCTCTTCTACCCGCAGCATGAAAGAGCTTGTCCTCTGGGTTACTTAATGCTTTTATGCATTAGTGCTGCTATGAACTCCTGGTGATATGTTTGCTGCCTTTCCAACATCAGCCTTAGCCTTGGCGGTGGAGAAGAACCGGGATGACCCCTGGGTTGGACTTCCCTCAGGATTCAGCTGGGCACTTGTGCTTCCTAGCAGACACTGCCAAAAGCTGAGATTAAGAAAGGCTCTACATAAGATCTGGTTATTAAAAACCAGAACATAAATCTTTTTGCCATACCTTAAATGACAACTAGGTTATTTGCCTAGTTACAGTGCTTTGTCTAAAAAGGCTTTATCACGTCTGCGTCCACAAAATTAGTGGGAGGAGGATGCGATAGAGAGGCACAATAACCACGCTGACAGTCTGAGTTCTGTTCATCAACTCAAAGGCTACAGGAGTTGGAAAAGAGGCATGATAGAAGGAAATGCAGATTTTAAACAACTGCTTTAATCTCACTTACTTGCAACAGGACAGTGATTATGAAGATGATAAAGAAGAATAACCAGGCGCTTGCAGCTAGGAATGATATATCAAAGTGGATGCACAACAGTGGGAAAGAAAAATTTATTAAGGAAGTAAGGGGAGCTTGAAAAAGTGTGCGTATGGAAGACCATATGCAGAACAATCCTTAGAACTAAAGACTAAAACAGTGGCTCTGTTTTACACAGACAGTGATTTTATGCAAGAATTCATTAATAAGTAGTTTCAAGATACAACACCCCTCACCCGAAGTAAGATCGCACTTTCCAAAGTCTGCCTATCACTCACCCTTTTAGAATGCAATTTCCAAAGTGAGAACAACCATTAGACCTCATATAATCCTGACAATGGAATAAAGCTGCAGTTAAATTGATATGGACATATAGCAGGCTAACATCTACTGGGCTTAAATACAGACAAAATGCTACTGAAATGAATAGGTTTGCTCCTGTTTATACCAGCTAAGACTTTAGCACTCCAAGACGTTGCAGCTCCACCCACAATTAGTGGGTCTCACAGCCCCTTTCAATTTGTCCAACAGACATTTCCAAAACCTCAGAATGAACACCTGCGTTCCAGAGGAGATGACCGATGTCACTATATTTTGCAGAGCCCAAGAGGTAAACTTCAGGAACGTCAGCTTTCAGTCCTGTCAAACTTGGCACCTTTTAGATGGAACACATTCCCCTTATCTACCCTTTTCAGAGTCTATTCAATTGTCACGTGTGGTGTGCTATGTCACGGTGCAGACAACACAAAAATGGAGATGAAGCACATAAAAACATGGACTGAGTTTTGTAGAGAACACTGACATCTTTCCTCCTCTCTCCAGAATGAAAGTCTTGTACACTACCAATCAGATGATAATATCCAAGGCCCACCGTATTCCCTGGACCACAACCATTCCCATTTTATTTTGGTGGATCACATAACACCAAGTGAGCCCGATGGAACCACTAAGCTACGTCTCACCTTGGAAAAGCATATTTCAGAACAACGTACTGGGTATGGTGGTAAGTAGACTCTATATAGGCATGCTAACTCGAGTAATACTGATATCACAGTGATACTTCTGGGCCTCTGGTCTTACTAAAGGCAAGTCCAATTCTCAAATTGGACAGCCAACTACGTAGGCAAGATCAAGTAAACACATTTGTTATTATGTAAGAGGCAGAACTGAGGTGACTTCTGAAGTTGAGGAAGCTGCTCTTTGAACCAAAAATCCTGACTTTTATCCTTAAACATAGCTCAAAGCTGATCTTCAAAGCATAGCTCAAATTACCTTAAAATGCAACAAATGGAAAGTAAATCCAGCTTTAAATGCCTTAACCAGTGGCTCTCAGAGATGGATGTTCATTGCTATATACTTTTATCTCCTGTCGCACACAGGCTCTTGAATTGCTCCCACACTGGAAGAAAACACTTGTTCCAAAGCCCTCTGAAATATTTTAAGCCATATTTATTTCAGAATAAAATCTTTTCCTGGGTAAACAATGTAGCATCTAATGGTCATGTAAATGTATGTGACCTTTGTTTATAATGAGAACTGAGTATTGGGCAGGCCTCCTGCTGCTATTTGTGGAAAGAATTCAGCTGTAGTGCTAATATAATTACTTTTACCTTTCCTTTGTTCCTGTAACACCTGCAGTGCTAACACAGTTGAAACAGAAGGCAGAGCTCACTTATTGGCACCTGTATGCGTCAACGGAATATTCAAACACGTAGCCCATAGTATGGTTGCACAGATGTACCCGAGAGCAGGAACGCACCCAAAGAATGCTTGCCTGGTGGCTCAGATAGGAGAGACAGTAGGTGGGCTGTAATGGTAGGCTGAAGTTGCAGTGCTGAGAATTAGAAAGTAGCCTCTTTCTGCCTGCAAACCAAATCTGACTGAAGAAGTATCAGTGGGAAAATTTTCTGTCAACGAATGCTAATTCCTTTGACAAATATTTCACTGGAATATACTGAATTCAGTGATGTCTTCTACTAAAAAAAAAAAAAAAAAGTGTCATTCATTTAAACTCATTTATATTCAAGCTGAGCAAAGCTATGTGACTTTACTGAAGTAAAACACTTTAATAAGGTCATGCAGAATTTCCCTATTTTAAAAAATACATAGAAGTCATTCAGAGGAAATTTCTGATATACTGAATATTCTTTACAATTAAGGACTTCCCACCTTCCCAGCATAAAGTCAGAATCCCTCCCCCTTCCCCCAGCTAAATTTTATCTAAATCCATGGTAAATGAAGAATATTTGAAGCCATAAACACATATTGAGGAACCTGTAGTCACAGAGCTCACTCTTCAAACTAGAACACCACCTTACAGAGGTATGGCAATGCTATGCCATTCACTAAAACAAATGAAGGTACTTGCCAATCGTGTCCTGGCGACAGCTCCGTTCTACCTAATCTCTGTAGTCAACCACAACAGATCCAACAAGTAGTAAGTGGCAACCTGTACACTGCTCGGGGAGACCTACAAAGGGAAACATCAAAAAATTGTTGGAACCAAATGCCTTTTATCTTCAAACTGAAAGAGGCTTTCTCATGATGCTACTGTTTTGACTGAGCTCTTTTAAGCCAATCTATAGTCACTTTTGGATTACAGAGTTCAGTATTTACAGTATAAAGCATCTAGAAATAAGTGGGCCCCTGCAGGAGGATGGCTAAGGACAAGGATGCCTACATAATTTCTTCCCCTGTTGCCATGACATGTTAAATATTTCATTAGCATTTCTTTTAAATATAAGATTATGTTATTAATAATCACCACATTAGACTGTGCTGAATAAAATTTAAGCTGTTTAAGCAGAGTAATAAAGCGCATATGGTTCCTATGAAGTCATATCTGACTCATCTCACTAGCTGGTCTACATAGTCAGCCTCTCCATATTCCTAAATCCTCCTTTTATCAGACTTTTCTCCCAGATTCCACTACACCTTGCTGCACCTGCCAGGGACATGCATCATCCCTGGGACAAAGTGACAGCTGTTCACTTCTAACTGTGTCTTAATACAATGGCAGCTGCCTCGCTGAAAACCTAACAGTCTTGTCTTGCACCCTAATGCAGCTCCGTTACTCCACTATCTGATCACCTGGCAGCAAATAAATGACTTAAAAAGTCAACAGTGCTATGACATACAGAAGTGCAGATGTCCATATCTTGCAGCTGAGGTGTACAGAGGTGAGAACAGACTGGACTGCTTGCCAGGGATCGCGCAAGACGTCTGAGGCAAAGGTGCCTTCGTCCTGAATCTTAGACTAGGAGCCCACCTGCTAGGCCACAGTGTTATTTTCTTCCTTTGCCACTTGCTTCTGCAACTGCCTGCCTTCTGCAGGCTCATACATTGGTACCTACCAGAACAGCACATGACAGGAGAAGTATTTTCAAGGGGTCAGCAAAAACACGATAGTTTTGTGAAAGCTGTCAACTTTTTAAAAATTAACCTGTCTATTTTACAGGAACAGGTAGCATTGAGATCCCTGTGCTTTGCTTACTGGTAAATGGCAGACCAGACACACTGGAGGTAAGAAGCTGTCTGCAACTTCAGAAAAATAAATTAACTGGTACTAAGTTAATTAATGAAAAATGTGGCTGGATGACAAAACACATGTATTGGCACTTTACCTAAAGTCAAAATTCATATCTACACACCATTAAGAACGGAATTCTGTTAATATTAAATTTGCCAGTATTTGTTTGAGAGAAATATTTCCTTTTGAATAGGCACCAGCTGATCATTCAAGCTTCCACTGCCAGCTCGTAGTGGGAAGAAGGAATCCAGAACTAAAACAAACCCAGCTCCAGATCTAGCAAAATAGAAATACTGTGCTATTACTTGAGATCACATAGGAGAAGAAGATTAATCACCCAGTGCCGTCCAGCAACAGTGAGACAACTGTCTCTGTCACAGAGCTCAGAGAAAGTACAAGACCAGGTTTGCTAGATTTGACATTTAAAACTATAGTGCCCTAGTTCTGCTGAGCAAAAATACATTGTAGGACAGAAGACCAGAGAGTTGTCTGCTAACAATCCCATACATTCTTCAGCAAAGGATCGGTTTTGATTTTTTTCCTGAGTAGTTCTAGTTAACTAGGAGACACTCTGATTTCTATTTTACTTTTACTGGTATTTTATTTTGCTACTTTGTAGCAGCCTGTATGTCCACATGGCCATTTTTTTTTTTTTTTTGGTAAGACTCTGAGATGAAAAGGAATACTTTACAGTACCTTTAGAAAGACGTTTAACCATAATTTAAAGTTTCCAGGTGATGAGACTCTGCCATACAAGCTGATAACCTCTTTCAGAGTATTGATTCATTTCTGGTGATGTTTTCTAGTTTCAGTTTCAAGGTCCTGTGTCTTGTCGTATCTTTGTCAGCTGGACCAAAACACACGCTGGTATTAGAAATCTCTCTGTTTAAACCAGCACTATATCACCTCTTGAGGTTTCCTTCTAGAAGCTAAATCTGACAGTGTTTTCTCTATCTCAGATGTTGAAAAAAATCACATTGCACAACCTATATATCCTCTTTTCAAAGTTTCAGAGAACAAAGTGACTTGGAGACCAAAGGTGACTGGCTAGAGCTGCTCTAAATTTACGTGTGCTGGGAATGGATAACTGATTGTGCTTTTTAAGAATATCAGTTTCTTAAATACAAATTGGATAATACACACCAAGGGCTACAACAGTTGTTAAAACAAAAAAAAACAACAAAAAAAAAAAAACAACAAAAAACAAAAAAAAAACAAACCCTACACAACAAGCAGATCAATAGTTCAGTTCTTAGAGCCTCACTCATTAGCTTCTTGCATAACTCCAAAGTAAGAAATAGATTGACAGCAAATAGTCGTTGTTGCAATTATGATGCCAGGGTCTCTGCTCTCCTCTCTCAACCACCTGCCTGACTCATTCTAACTGCACAAGTAATACAATTACCAGCCTCTAACTCTTGCAGTTGCTATGCTTCAGTGATTTTTTCCTGTGGCCCAATGTTGTATTCCCACAGGCAAATTCTGATTTTCAGAATGTACCACCAGGTTTAGCAGCCAGAAGAGCCTGCTGAGAATTTCTGTATAGTGCTCCTCTTGCACCTGACTATGCCAAAGCACAAACTGGGAGGGGAGGGGGAGAGGGGAAGTCAGGCACAAAGAAGTTTTATGCATTGTTTGTTGAAATCAGGATGCTTAGCTCCTCAGCAGATGTGTCATGAAAAGAAGTGGAGTCAGGGACCTATACATGAACGACCTGCTACAGGATCATAAAAATCCTAATAGCTTAGAGGAGTCTGGACTGACTCCATAGCGAATTTGCTTTAGGCACACATTTATTCCTAGTTTGCAAGAAAACCTTCTTTTGAATAACTTTTTCTTTCCATATATGAACTCTAAAAATGTACTTTTTTAAATTGCAGAGAATTTGCAGCGGCTTGGAAAATTCTGCTCCCTGGCTTATCTTAGCAGGGTCTGGAGGTACAGCTGACATCTTAGCTGCGTTCATGAATGACCCACAGCTTATCACGCCAGAAGCTGTTGAAAAGCAATTTAAGGAGAAATTTCCTGCAGAAAGCTTCTTGTGGAAGGATGTTCTCCAATGGACGGCAACAGTGAGCTCATATGTTTGATAATCACATGCAGCACGTTCACAAGTTCTCTCTTACGATTTCTAGCTTCAGTAGTTCTTTCAGTACAGGTTTAACAAGAAGCTGCCCAGAAGTTTTGGGTACTCCAGTGCTCTGACACTAGTGTCATCGAATAACTAACATTAAAATCACGTGCTCGGCTGATTACTACTTTTTACAAACTGCTTGGAGCTAGTGATTCAGCCGAACACTCAGGGCTCTGTTCTTCCTCAATTATTTCTTCAAGTAACAGCCAGCACCCAGGAACCCCAGGCTCGTTCTGGAGGGCATGAAGCATTATTTATACTCCACAGCTGTGGAGCGGGTGCAGCTGTGACAGACGAGGCCTAATTCATGATCTACAGCTGTCAAATGGAAACCTAGTTGTGGATAAGCATTAATAAATTAAAAAGAATGAAGGGTGTTTAGAACTTGTCCTATCTATTGTCAGTTATGTGCATTCTTAAAAAAGAAAGACAAACCAGATTCACATATTTTCCTTACTCTTTGTCTCGAGGCACACTTGCTGGACATAAACCACTATGCATAAGTATTTAAGAAACAAAAAAAAAACACTTTGAGATTGTCTTTATGTGAAGATGGAAGAGCACTGTGTGCCTCTGAGTTAAACCAAGTCCACTCAACCTGACCCACTACTTACTCTTTGCAGTCCCTGCCATAATCCTTAGCTTTAAAAGTTCCACATATTAATTCCATTAGGGAGAACTTTGCCAGATCACTAACACAAGGGAATGGAAGGGCATCCAGAAGCAATATGGCCAGATGCTCACAAAGTCTCAGTGCAACTGCACTGACGGAAAGAAAACTCAATAAATAGAGAAGCAGAAGGAAAGAGAAGAGTACTGTATATATCAATATTTGATGACTTTTACTCAGAGAAGACTTGGAGACTGTGCTTTTAAATAAACAGCTCTGAGAGCAAAACTTAAATGTCAAAGCAGGAAGAGGTAAAACAAACTAGTGATATGCTGGCCACAGCATGACTGTGAGTCAAATAAGAATGGGAGTTAAGGAAGAATCTTTAATTAAAGCACTCCTCTGGTTCTCAGGATATCCAAGTTCTGTTCCTCCTATCCTGCTAGGTGACTAGAAAAGGCAGTAGCTCCCTCCTTGCCTCAAGACTTATTTATACATGGGAAAATAATAATGTTTGTCTTCTTGCCAGACCTCAGCTTTACAATTAGAACGTAAGCTTTGGTGGAGAACTGTATGGGTGATCTCCACTGAGCTCTTAGGCATTCATACATAGGAGTAGGACAACACATAAAAAATTATTTTTGTTTCAACTCCCAATAGATTCACAACATTGTTTCACACCAACATCTTCTAACTCTGCACAACTTTGAGCAAGATGGCCCAGAAGAACTAGACACAGTCATTTTAAAAGCTTTAGTAAAAGGTAAGAACAATAAACACATCACAGTATAATACTTGTCTTATTTGATTTCTTCTGTGCCAAAAATGTATTTCATTCTTTGTGTGGGGGAAAAAAAAAAAAAAAAAGACATTCTATTCCTGATGTGCTAATTGAAACAAGACAAAAAACAATAGCCAGTCCTGTCCCCCCCTTTCTGCAGGCCAGGGTCCATCTTAAAATCCTACAGACATTTAAACTTAATGTTTTAGTAGAGAATTCAGCTAGCAAAAATGTGTATTTTTAAATATTAATATTTCTTAACTTAGGAAAAAAGTGCTGTGAAGGGTTCCTGGTTAAGCAACCCACAGATCTGTGATAGCCAAAGGAGAGTTTGTATTGCTAATCAATTACCAATACTATACTAAATTAAACACAACAGGTGTATAAGTACTGAGTTTATTTGCCTCTCCTATCTTTGCCAGCCTGTAAAAGTCACAGTCAGGACGCTCAGGAATATCTGGATGAACTGAAGCTGGCAGTGGCCTGGAATAGAGTGGACATAGCTAAAAGTGAAATATTCAATGGTGACGTGGAGTGGAAGGTACCGGGTTTACATTGCCTTAGAGAACAACTGGTGTATAATCCAATGTGTACAGGACACTGAAACATCCCGAGAGAAGGCTTTGGTTTTTAATGCTACCTGCATTCTTCACTAAGAGACTTCCTTAGTGCTTCCTTAAGCTGCTTGTCTTTCTGGTCCCTTATATGATAATAGCTAAAGATAAAAGAATAATTTAGTGGTTATAGTCTCTTTCTTGAGCTCTTTGGGGGCAAGAATCTCCCCCCCTGTACTTTGCTTCAAAGCAAACAAACCTGAGCTTACAAAGCAAAAGCAGCATGCAGATATTACTGTTAGAAGTTGGTAAAGAGAATGTCACTCTTTTATACACGTTTATAACTGCTGTATAAATACCCAGTGCAGTGGGTACCTAATATCACAACTCCTACAGCCTGCTATTTGTGTCAATGTTTTAACATTAATGCTTACGCAGACATTTTGTCACAAAGAAATGAAGAGAGTTCTACCTCTCTTTCTCATTGTACCCACTGTTGATCTGGTGGAAGGCAAAATGTGTATGTCCTCATGTTAAATCTTACCTCTCTCCTCATCCATCCATGATTACCCCTGAAAACCCTTTTTTTTTTTTTTTTTTCCTTCCCCTGTTCATCAATCTAGTCCTGTGACCTGGAGGAAGTGATGATGGATGCTCTGGTCAATGACAAACCAGAATTCGTAAAATTATTTATTGACAATGGGGCTAACATATCCGAATTCCTGACATACAGTCGTCTGCAGAGACTCTACTGTTCCATTTCTCAGAAATGTCTTCTCTATGAACTTCTACTGAAGAAACATGAAGAAAACAAGCTAACCTTGGCAGGGCCCACTGATCAACAGCATCAGGAACAGAAGGAGATCTGCCCACTCTTCACTCTCAGTGAGGTCTCTAGAGTTCTCAAGGATTTTCTCCATGATGCATGCAAAGGCTTCTATCAAGACCTCAGACATGGAGGCAAGAAGAAATCTGTGAGTTACAACTTTCCACCATAGTCCTGCTCCCCTCCAATTTAGAATTTGAAAAATTTTGGCTTGGTTTAGACTTTGGGGCCGGGGCAGAGAATGAAAGGGAAGATGAAAGAAAGAGTCACTTCAGTTTCTCATTCTTTCTTTCAGCTCAGTACTATTACAGCTAAAATGGTTTGATCTTTCTAATTTCAAAATTAAAAAGGAAAATAAAGGAATTTCTAAGATAGACAGGCTGTGATTCCTCTTTCTCCCCTGCCACATGCGGGGTTTTACACAAGATTTTACTGTTCCTTGAACCAGTGCTAAGATATGGCCTGTGTTTCAGGATCTGCAGAGGGCCCTGTATCTCACACCCCTCTAGCACAACTCCCACAGACCATTCCTCATTCTAGCACCTTGCACATGGAGAACAGTTTGTTGATCTTATTAGCCTCACATGCATAAGAACATATTCAATAAAAGATATATGGGGAATATATGAAGAAATAGATTTATTAAGACTTATTTATTAATAGGTTTATTAAGGAAAAATTAGACATTAAAATAGCAGTCTGCCTTTCTCATACAGAACTTCAAGCAGAAGTACTTGAAAGACAATACTTTCTAGGAAAAAGACAAGCAGGTGATGGCCTTTTTCAAGCCCAGGTCTGAAAATTATAAACTTTGTACGTAAAACTATTCCCAGATTTATAGTGTGTAGGAGTAGATTGGATATTCAATAACGTGCAGTACGTGATATTTATCTTTATATCATTGTAGTCTTGTTATTGAGTGACATAACACACAGCAAGAAATAAGAATGATGGTGTGAAGTTGGCACCTTGGCCAACACATGACATGGGTAACGTGATGGGTACCACTGTGGAATGTCTGTAGTGCACCATCCACAGTTGCACAATAGATTTGTCATCATTTTGCTTTTTGACAGTGTATTTAGCATTGAAACTCCTAAGTACCAAAGTTCTTGCAAAGGCATTGGAAATAAGTTTGGACACATGATTTCAAAACAGAGAGGTACAGAGAAATTTCATTAAGCTTAGAGTTTTAGATAAACTAAACAATTAAACCTGTTGATATTTGCCAAATTATAGTTTCACCTTAAAACTGTTTAAACTAAAAAAATCAATTAAAAGAAAATTTCTCACTCAAGAGCTTCAATCACTTTTGCTTTGATAAAACCTAGCTAAATTAATTATTAGTATGAAAACCTAAGTTTGAATCTAGTCAGGATTTCTTTGTTCACAAGGACAGACAATTTGGGGCAATACCTTTGAAATTATTAAACAGACTCACAAATTATACAGCAGTAAAAACTTGCCCCTGAAATGTCACTTATCTTTGTGGGATTTGGCAGTAAGTGAGCTAAAGCCAAGTGCTGTAAATAAGGCCCAATTCAGTTACCAGATCACACCACCTACTAGCTTTTTTCCTTTAAAAGCTTCTTCACACGACCGCCACCAGTGGCTCAATCCCTTTATCACTGGCAACAGAAAGAGCATCACTGTACTGGGGTACCAGTGTCACTGCTGACCAATTCGGTGTCTCATTTCAAGTTAGGAACTAGTAGTTAGAAAGACTGATGAGACTTTGGGATGCCTTTGTCTCCTGCAAGGTTTTCGATGCAGTTCAGGTGATTAAACAGCTCATGACAAACTGAAGAAAAAAAAAACAACTCACCAAACACCTCCAAAAACTTCCATTTAAATAAACTTGAACAGAATCCCATCATTTAAGTGATTAAAAAATATATCCTCACAGAAAGTTGTTTTATTAAAAAAAAATCCACTCTATCTGCTTCTAATTAACACAACAGATATGAAGGCAATTTCAGTTTTTAAATATACTTAAACTCAGAACTTGACCTAAGTTTCCATACTTCCTCTGGAGAGTTTTTTATCAAATGCTAAAGGAATAAGCGGTATTCTCCTTAAAATACTCCCTGCATGAGGGAGAGGTTTCTCAAAGGAAAGGCTAAAAAGAGGGTATTGACGTACTCTATTCTTGTCATGTACAGGGCCTTGGCGAGATTTATTCCTGTTGAAATAAAATGCCTTTTGTTCCCTTTTCCCTGAAACCATGTCCTCTGCAGCAGTTGAGCAGAATCCAGTATAACTGAAGGCAAGCCCAGATTAGTTAATCACAGGTTTGTCTTGTATGATATTACACACCAGCAGCGAAACCCTGCAAGTCAATGAGAGCTTTACCATTGACTTCAATGGTGTCATGGTTTCATCCAGAACATTCTCACACATATTGAGTTATATCGGGGACACAAGGGTCCTTTGATTCAGTACAGAATGAACTAATTACCTCTCAGTCCTACAAAAAAGAAAAATCAAAAGAATATGAAGTAGCTGGCAAGGCCAAGAGCAGCTTAGATCATGTCATTTGCATGGAATGAGACTGCAAAGCAGGTTTTAATTTCTACAAACCATATTTCAGGATGAAGTGAATACAAAGCGAATACCTGGGCCCTTGGATATGAACCAGAAAAGCAAAAATCCTTGGAGGGATTTGTTTGTATGGGCAGTACTTCAAAACCGGCACAAGATGGCAAACTATTTCTGGGCTATGGTAAGCTTTGCTCTGTAGCTGCTTCAGGTGAATTACTGGCATACTTCAAGCATAGGAGATGGTTTTTGCTCAGCCTGGCAGCTCAGATGACAGATAGGTTTGTTTCTCAAATACGAGATGTGGCATTTATAGGGCCTTTCATCTCTGTATGGCTCATGCCAGCAGGGGCCAGAGGGCCTGACAGGGAGGGAGGGCAGAGCAACAGCCTGTGTAAATCAGCACAGCCTTAGACATGGCTGATTAACTTCAGCTGCAGAGTTGGCCCTCCTCTTCCTTGCTGAGGATGACTTCACCACTCTCAGTCTCAGGTTTTGTTCCTTCTACAATAGGTCAATTGTTTAGGTTCTAGCACAACCGAGAGGGAAGACGGTGCCACCGAGCATCTTTAGCTTACGTGCCGCACGTGTAGGGAACAACACACTCCCAAAGGCTGAGCTTCAAGCTGGCATAATCAGCTCCTGTGTTACAGTCCCCCACAACCAAGGCCCTGTCTCACGCATCTGGAGCGCAATGCCATAGCTTCCCCCACTCCACAGAGCCAGACACAGCTATCGGGCTCCATCCCTGAGCTTCCAGACAGCTGCATCTGGCACAGGTCGTGGGGAGGGACAAACGGCTGCCCAGCTCCTCAGCCAGTGAGTGTGTGTGTGTGTGCAAGCAGACACATCTGCACCTTGCAGGGCCTTGTGTTTGCAGAGCCCTATTGCCAGGAGCCACGTTTCTCTGCTGTGTGCTGCTGGTTGGTCTCTGCCAGCTGTGCTCCCTCCTTTCCCCTACGTCCTTATGCAGGGTCTTGGCAGAGCCACATTTCGGGTATCTTGGCACTGTGAGAGTGTTTTGCTCTATTTCCATAACGCGTTCTTTTCCTTTCCGTCTTTGAATGCCACCCCAAATCAGGCCCCCTTCAGGTCAGTCAAACCCAGAAGTCCCCAGCCTCATAAGGCACAAGAGCTGCCAATACATGGTTTTCAATTCTCAAATATCACCAAAACTGTAATTTCAATAGGCATTTTGGACTTTCGAGTCTGTATTTGAGGGAAAATTCTTCCAAGGGGAGACAGGCATGAATTTTGTTTTGTTAGATGTGTTTCTTAGGGAACTCGCCCCAGTTCAGAAATACCTGCCAGTGTATGGTAACAGCAGCACCCCTTTCAATTCTACAGGGTCAGGAGGGTGTAGCTTCAGCTCTGGCAGCCTGCAAGATCCTTAAAGAGATGTCACGCCTGGAGACAGAGACTGAAGTAGCTCGTATAATGAAAGAGGCCAAGTATGAGCAGCTTGCTGTTGGTAAGTAACAGCACCTTTTTAACAGCATCAAAAATTTAATAAGTAACTGCCATTGGAAGGCAAGTAAGTGAAAAAAAATACCGTTTTGGTTGTAAAAGGTCAACTGTCATGAATAATTTAACAGCCTTGCAACACAGGCAGTTCCAAACATTCAAATAGCACAGAAGGAAGACATGAAAACCAATCATTTTGGAAAAATCAGTGTTCCAAGACTGGCTCCTGGGATCCATGGAAGAAATTACTGTCCCGCTGCATGCTGGTATTTTAAGTGTCTGATCTTAGTACAAGGTGTGTTACAGCGATGGGCAGGATAGAATAAACTTTGAGGCTCACAGCAGCCTGGTTTTCCTGCAATATTAAGCTTGCTCTGTAAGGGCCACTAGAGCAACAAGTTTTAAGGTTTGTCTTTGCTGCTAAAAATAATTCGAGATTACCTCACCCAGAAGAGGGCCAGCTGCACTGCAAAACTGCAGTGAGGCTCAGGCTGGTTTCCCAGCAAACAAGCCACCCCTTCCCACAGCAGTAAGCATTCAGGCATCTGCAATGCCGAACGCCAAGCCCTCCCCCTCTGCCTGGTTTAAAAACAGATGTCGGCACAAACTTCTCTGCTGATCTGACTTCAATCTAACCTGTACCTGACGGTAGCACTGCTGTGAACAGAGGGCTTTAAAGTCCACCACACATGGAAACGCAGAGGCTCTTTCTCCCTCCCCTTAGAGCTAATACATCAAGCAGCTGAAGGCTCACGCAGACATTGCTACATTATTTATACATAGATCACATTTTCCCCTCTTCTCACAGCACCATTATCACAAAAAATAAAAGTCAGGTTCTCATATAATCACAGGGCTCGAGTAATTTAGTCATGGAATTAACAGGCTTAATCCACAGAAGTCTCCTCCTTGGCTTTGGTAAGTATTAGATCAGATCGTCAATTTTAATTTCTGGCCCAGCTAGCACTGTCAATATTAAGTAGAGCAAACACTCTTTACGAATGATAAATACCACATCAACTGCAAAAGAAGTCTGTATATCAGCTTATTTTAAATGAACTTGATGCTTTCCCCAGCCCTCACAGTGTAACAGCAAGGCGTAGGCTGGCCTAGGAAAGGTACTGAGTTAATCAAGGGAATCTGCAGAATCAAACAGACACAAGAAGTCAGATCTTGTCTAATGAGAAAACATTGACTCTTTGGACTGTTTATTCTAGTTTCCAAGCTCCAGGACCAGCTTCTCTAGAGACAGAACTATGCCACAACACACTACCAAGTCTAATATTATTTTAGGTCAAGTAGTTATGTCTTAAAATCAAGGATTTGTTGGCTACGAGCCAAAGCTGAGCTGCTCCTTTTGTTTAGTCTATTCAGGAGAGTGAGGACAGCCTGGCAGCTCACCCTTCAAAGTGTAAGAGGATCATCAGAGAGATGCAGTTTTGCTTGGTATTGCCTAAAGCTCCACATAAGACAGCTACACGAGGGACTGTAACAAATCCTGACACGTTTCTAAGAAGTTTCTTATGCTGTCTGTAGAGGAATTGAGAAGAAGTTTCTCCTTAGATCAAACAATAGGAGAAAACCCCCAAACCCAAACCTGTTAGAGGCCCCAGGCTGGGAAGGGAGTGTGTAGATAGAAAGAGGTGGGAAGGATGTACCGAGAGATTTACTCCATACCTTTCTGCAAATAGTGGAAATTAAAAAGATTACAGCGATTTTTTTTCACCAAGGCAAATCTAGTTCACCTGCCCTCTGCCCCAACACATGCACACATATGCATAAAGCCATAGCAAGTTATTCTTGTGTCCAGCATTGTTCCTCTCTCCCTCTCACCTCCTTTAGCTCTCTCAGGCTCTCTTCAACTACATCAGCCTTGCAGAAGCCTCTGGTGCATCAAGGAACATCTGGCAGTGCTCAGGCTTTGCTGCCACTGTGCTGAGCCCTACACACATCACTCTTGCCTTACATTCATTTTTAAATGTTTTCTTTTAAATCCCAAGATCTTTTTGTCCGTTTCCTTCATTTGGCAGAACTGTTTAGTGAATGCTACCACAACAGCGAGGAGAGAGCATTTGCTCTGTTGGTGAGGAAAAATCAGTACTGGAGCAAAACCACCTGCCTTCAGTTGGCTACAGAAGCAGATGCAAAGTCCTTCTTTGCACATGATGGCGTCCAGGTAAGTTTTACAGACCCATCCCTCACCATCTCTACCCCCCCAGGGCCTTGCAGCATGATGGTGGACACAGAAGAGGATAACACAGCAACTGAACAATCCCATGAAATGTATTCCCCTAAGAGACATTCTTTAGAGAGGGGACCCTTCCCTCTCCCTCGTACCGTACAAAGAGGACATTACACTGCATCCTTGACAAAACAGCACAGTTCTCCTTTTCCCCTCTCTTTCATCCAGTTGGCTCACAGACCAGTGCACTGAGGAGAAGGTTTAGCTCTTAATCCATCCCGTGCTTTTTCTTCCTTCCTTGCTCGAAGAGAAGCAACAGGAGAGCACTTTAAATCTGCCTGGGGCATAATGAAGCTGCTCCAAGATGCGAGGCAACTCTTTCTTCAGATTCAAGGAAGAACTCACTGATAAAAGTTAAATCAAATTACTGTTTATCTTTGTCCTCACAACCTGAGTTCTCTCCACATACACAAAGCTAAATTAAGAGTGATGGTGCTTTTAGCTCCCAGTACCTGACTTGGATGTTGCTTAATTCCATTTGACTTGCTGCTCTTTCCACTGTCCTCTCTGTAACTCTTTGCATACTCAACAACACCTGCAGAAGGGTGCACGTGTTTGCTCTGGAGGTGTGACTGCTCTTTAGGTTTCCAGAGCATTCACTGTTTTAGGAGCCACAGAACATAGGTGCGCTTCATTTGCATGTATGCTTTTGTGATGTTAAAGCCATCTCTTGTTTTCTTGCCTTTCAGGCCTTCCTGACAAAAATATGGTGGGGAGACATGTCTACAAGCACACAGATCCTGAAGTTAATCTGTGGATTCTGGTGTCCTTTCCTAATTTACACAAATTTAATAGCATTCAGGTACAAACATAGCTATTTGGGTGCAGGAGATAAGTAAGGGATGAAAAATAAGCCATAAAAAAATTTCTCCCCTACATGATAAAACAGTAATATTGCCTCAGAGTGTCAGCAGAAGGACTGCACCACTATTAACCTAATCACTTTTCTGTGGGACCGAGTGATCTGTGCATCCTGTGCTAGTGTCTATTCAAATACTTAAAAGATCAATGCCATGATTTCACATAGATCACTTCTATTTTGCACAGTCCACAGAAAGTAGAGTTCTGTCAGCTTCAGAATCTACACAGTAATGACTAGATTCTACATAGTGATGAGTAGAATATTTCCAGGTGTAGCACCATCTGTTTCTAGATTTGGAGATGCCTGTTCAAACCTCAGTATCTTACCTAGAAAAATAGCCATCATAAAGCAGTGTTATCAGCCACAGGCCTTGATAACCATAAGTCAAGCTTAAAAACACAGGACTGACATGAAATCAACCAGGATTTTCAAATTCAATGTCATGCAAGATCTCAGTTAGTCTTCTGCAGACATAGCTGTGGAGTTTGTAGTTTTCAGCTTTTTGTCACAGTGAAGATGTCTAGAATCTTTTGGGTTTTGTTTTGTTTTTAAGAAAACCTAAAATAACAAAAAAAAAATCCCAAAACAAACAAAAAACAAACAGATAAGGAAAAAAAAAAAAAAAAGGTAGCCAAGATACTTAGGGACTCATAAGAATTCAAGAACTAGAACTTTAAGAAAGCCTTCCAATACTGTGAGAAGCGTATACAAGTGATCAGAATTGGCATTATGGAATGACACCCTATTATGAAATATATGGGTTTTAACTGTCAAACAACTTTAAAAGCATGAGGAAAACTTGTTTGGTGCTGCTGATGTAAGACTTTGCTTCTGCCAGTATCACTAAATTTGACCTTCTTGTCATAGCGGCTGCCAGATTCACAAATTCAGATAATTTAATGTGACATTTTGGCAAAGTTTTCCTGGAAAGCTTTAAATTATGATTCATAATCAAAGTAAGCCTTTCCAAATTCGTTCTGTGGAGGACATTTTTTACCTCCTTTCCCTGGAAATACAAGAGTTGACACCATGTTCTCTACTGCTTCTGGCATTTCCTCTCTTAATTGCTACTAAGAGTAACCAGGAACAGAGCACCAGGGTATTGTCTTCTAGGACTGACTGAGGGTTTATTGCTGCTCAACTTCTAAGTAATTTGAGGAAACTGAGCATCCTGCTCCATTTTTGTGAAGCTTGCCAATTATCACTTCTCTGAATCTTGTGGGTGACTTCAGCCTTCTCCTTACAAATCAACAGAATTTGCAGAGGTAATGATTACACATTATTTGATAGCTTCTTTGCAGAGCAACCATGAGTACGTTAGCAGGTCTGTATGAATGCCAATTTAGTAGTGGAAAATTGCTAGCCATCATCTTTCAACTAACGAGTTTATTTCCTTACAGTGAGGAAAAACAATCAACGAATGAGTCAGAGCCATTTAGAGAGCTGGACAGTTTAGATACAGAGAGGACTCTGTTTTTTTCCAAGGAAGAAGACAGGTAAGTCCAAAACCATTAGTTAATACAACTTTTGTGAAAACAATCAAAGAACAGGACACTTCTTGTGGATTAGTGACCAGCTAATGATCTAAGGAGCAGCTGAAGGACCAAGGAAGTAATTACTCCTCAGAAAGTGCTGTGCCCTCTGATCACTGCTGTTGTTCCTCTCTAAAAAGAATATAGAAAATAAACAGGGATATATCACTCCTTCAAGGAGACACAGCTTTACTTGTGCTGAGCATGTAATTACTTAGAAACAAGGAATCTGCTTAATACCTGGGGAATCAAAAAGCATTTCCTGAGATTCCCTTCAGCTCTTGATGGTTGATATACATTGGATTCAGGAACTAAGCCCCTGTCAGATAACTGAGCTGAGCAGAAAGAAGGTTCTCAGTGAAACCTTACATTATTTGAGTGCATCACTACATACTTTACTACAAAGGCAGCAACAGAAATACTTGCAAACATCAGTACCTGGGGAATTTTATATTGTCAGCTTTCCAACATACCTTTGCTCTCCATTTATATTTTAAAAGATGGGCCCTGAGGAACCCAAAGTACAACAACAAACAGGAGTTAAAGGGAGCATTGCACAAACTGAGCACAAAGATTTTGCCAGTTCCTTGTGCTCACTCATCGATTTGCAGTTCAGAACGTCTGAATCCCACCTTTGCCACACACTCATCACCAAAACCTGAGAGGTCACAAGGACTTAAGGAAAGATAGGAAGAATTTTGATTAGTAAAATTTCCTCCTAATGGCTAAAATAGCCGCTTGTATTAAGCACGTGCTTTTCAATAATTTAAAGAGAACTTCAGAAATATGTGAAAAATGGTAGTGAGGAAGCATCATCTGTAGTATAAAGTGCCGGACCAAGTCAGAGTTACTAGGTTCTATTTTTACCTCTGGCATTTAACTGCCAGTATATGGGAAAAATCATTAGTTCTTCTCTCTCCCTCCCTAACTGATAAAATAGGTGTAAAAGCATCTGCCTCTTGGGAGCTATTTGTAAGCAATGTCATACATAAAGCACTTCCATATCCCGAGTGAAGCGTGGCTTGGTCATTACATTGTGTGTTCCAGTTGCTATTATCTTAGCAATTTATTTTAACAAATAGGCTCTCTCCCCCCCAGATCTATTTCAGCATCTTACAGTAAAGCTGCAATTATCTGTTTATGATATTAGCCTGTTACCAGGGGAATGCATCTTATGATGTCATAAATTGAGAGGTAGTACAGAATCAGGCACATAGAAAAGACTGGCTGTGAGGAGAAACTTTTCGTTATAACAAATATATTTAATAATTAGCAAGAATGTCAGGGGAAATTAAAAACTAGTGAAGAGTCATTGTTTATTTTTTGAGGTGAAATTGAAAACACACCCTAGTGTGCACATCCTTTGTTAAAGATCACACCTTTCAGAGTCAGAATCACAAAATTAAAGATCCAATAACATCCCTAGTTTACCCAGGAGAGCTATTTCTGTGGAAACAAAACCTCACACTAAGATCAGATTGCTATCAAATACAGGGAACTTGCATTTTCTGCACAGGATAATTTCCATTGCCAATAGATAGCACTTCATGTTCCAAAACACAGCAAAAACAACTGTAGATGTACAGGTCAAATTTCCCTTCAGTTACCAAAATACTTGTGTAATTCTACAATAGTCAAAGACCACCTTATAATAAATAATTTATGAGGTCAACCTTTTTTACTAAAAGGTTTCTGTATTACTTTTTCTGCAATTTACACTAATCACAAAGGGCAAGATGCCAGCGCTTACAGTTGTATCAAGGACTAAAGTATTCCTTCACTACTTCTCTCAGACTTCAGTAAGGATAGTCAAGACACACATGCTTAGTATGATCCAGTACTTTTGAGACTGGGTCAAAAAGAGGAATTTCTTAAAGTCACACCAGCAACTTCTGCATGCAAACACTGAAGGAAATTTTTAGAGCCGAAATAATTAAGAACTGACTTGCAAATGACATTGGCCATTTACTTGTCTTTCCTATTATTTAGAATTATGAAGAGCAATTAGTCCACTTCTCCCTCTCCTTGTGTATTGGCACAGTGTTTGTACTACATGAAGAAACACAAAGTTACAAATCAAATTAGCACAACAAAACTGAAATAACAAGAATACGTCTTTAAGTCTGATGTGACTTTGTTTTTCAAAACCTTTTCTGACTCGAAATATTTCTGCTGTGTAATGTGGCTGCTCTGACTTCTACAGCCTTCCTCCTTGCCACCCCCAACATCTGCATGTTACTATCTTACAAGAAGCTTTACATAGAATAATACTGAGCTTATTCCCACAAACTAATTTTAGGAATTCATCATCCAGCCTATATTCTTTTTGTTTTGCAGAGGAAATGGTAAATTGGAAAAGCAAAACCCTTCTGAAAACACAGCGTGGGCAACATTCATGTTTACTCGGTGGAGAAAGTTCTGGAGTGCCCCTGTAACTGTATTTATGGGGAATGTCATAATGTACTTTGCTTTTCTGTTTCTATTTACTTACGTCCTTTTACTGGACTTTAAGCCACCTCCACCTGAGGGTCCATCTGCTAAAGAAATTATACTTTACTTCTGGGTTTTTACCCTGGTCTTGGAAGAAATCCGACAGGTCAGTAACCTACAATCTTAGTAATAACACTAAAAAAATGAAGTAGTATTTGGAGTAGATTTACAACCTGTATAGCTGTACAAGCTCAAAGATTTCAAGTGTCAGGTGCAGTTTTACACAGAAGAGCAGCATAGAACTTACCTTATCCAAAGCACCACCCCTCTCTCCCAGAGAGAGCACTTCCTCCACCACATAAACCTGTAGCTCCACCTCTGTTGTTCCATCCTGCTCCAGCTGTAGCCAAGTCAAGTGGGCTGCTAGGATTCAGGTGTCCTTCACCTCACAAAATATCTCTCTGATTTCACTCCCCGGAACTCAGTCCTCCCACCACATATAATGGAAATTGGAAGTTATATTCTACACCTGGAAACAGAGCAGACAACTCGACATCCTTTTAAGAGAGCAAACAGTCCCTGCTGGGAACTGTTTAAAAAAACAAGTAAACTCAGATTATTTGTGCTTTTCCCAATATACTTATCAATTCAAAACATTAGCAGGTCTTGTTTTGGTTTGCTTTTCTTAACAAAAAAAAAAAAAAAAACAAACCCTAAAAAAAAAAACAACAAAACCCAAAACCCCAAACCAAAAAAACCCCACTTCTCCATTAATCTCCCAGCTACTAGCTTTGGAATGTCCTCAGCCCAAGAACCGAAATAATGTGTGAACAATGGTGCTAGTGTATTGCCAACTGTGAGTACATAAAGCTGTCCTCTTTAGACATGAAAAAGCAGTTATAAACATTTACTCTAGAAGAATAAACAGGTGCTCATTATTTAAGCAATAGGGACAGTGAAGGGGATCCCAGTTTGTTACAATTTATTTGAAAGTGTGCAGCAAGGCCCTAAGCAGAGGAGGACATGGAAAATATTTGGATCAAAGAACATTTAATTATAAACTTGTAAAACATGAAGAGTGCCAGGCTAAAACCCAATTAAGACACCCAACTTTTTGTCTAGATAATTAAGTGTGCACTCACTGACAATTCCAGTATACAAATGCCAAAGCTGTTCATGCTGTTTAGATAGCAATGTCTAGAAACTGAACTTTGACTGGAAGGTCTCGTACTGTTTAAGAGCCCCAATGCTGACAAAATCTTAAATCAGGCCTCAAAAATTGTCCAGGCTAATATCACAAGAATAAAAAAAGATTTTATATTTTTCCTTTTTCATCCAACTTCTGTGTTTTAAGATAGTAAACCCAGCTTATGTTTTCAAGCTTTGTTTCCTATTACAATAGGAATTTGGTTTTGTTCTTTGCAATGAAAGAGAAAAAGGAAACAGGTATTACGTTAAAGCTCACAGTGAAATAGCGAAACTGGAAACAGATCAATACCAATGATTATTTATCTTTTTTTCAGAGTTTCTATACAGATGAAGACACAAATTTAATGAAAAAAATTAAACTGTATGTTGAGGATAACTGGAATAAATGTGACATGGTGACCATCTTCCTCTTCATAATTGGGGTAACCTGCAGGTATTTATCTGCTCCATGAGATGTGGGCAGCATCAGTAGCAAGGGCTGTATATGTCAGCTGACAGGAGAGTCTCATGAGCATCTAAGGACAGGCAGTGACATTTACTTTTACAAGTGTTGAGACATGTTTCTGCAATAAAAGCCTATAAAATTCTGTGGAATCATAGAAGTTGCTCCAGAGACCACAGAAAGACATCTTGGTATATTCAAACACATGTACAGAAAAGCTCTGTTTATTTTGTTTTGTTTTGGCAATCACTTTCACTCAATGTATAATTTCTTTCTTTCTTTTTTTTTTAATAAATCTTACTGAAGCCAAGACAGAGAATAAAGTGTCCCTCCAACTTTTGGCTATTTCTCTTCAGTGTACAGACTTTATGTTAAATTCCTCTTACAGGCTTATGCAACACCAGCCTTGAAGCATTTGCCTTTTCCTAACTAGGCAATGCTCAGAAACTAAGTGCAATATTTGAGAAAATACTTCTCAGCAGTACTTGCTGAGATCTGATATTTCATTTCATCTGTTCTGCAGGATGCTGAACTCGACTTTTCAAGCTGGCCGTACAATACTTGCCATTGATTTTATGGTGTTTACACTTAGACTTATACATATTTTTGCAATTCACAAACAACTTGGACCAAAGATCATAATTGTGGAAAGGATGGTAAGTGTGCAGTCTCCCTCAGATAAATATTTATGCTTTCAAAAAAATCTTCTCTTTACAAAGGAAATCAGTTTATAATCTATCTTTATATTTTTAAGGCTTGTCCTTTTGCATATATTCCCTTATTTATCATGAGTATTAGATGAAGTAAGTTTGAAATAGATCCTTCCAAAGAGCTCTATAGTATAATAAGTTGTTCCCAATTTACTAATCCTTGTACCTTACTTAATCATTTATCCTCAGATCTGGCAAATGAAGAGTAGAGTGTCTTTGACTTACTGCTGTTCCTCCTACTTCATAAGCTGTGTGCATTCACAGCAAAGACCTCAAACAGATGACAGGCCATTTACTGAATGAATGCTCCGCTTGGGGACGTGCATTATGTTATTTGCAGGAAGTGTGAAGAAAAAAAAAATCTATGAAAAAAAGATAGTTCTAAGTTTCACACGGGAGTTGTTCTTACTTGTACTTTGTAGTTCCATGTTACAATGAAACTATATTAGTAGTTTGTGAGCATATGTTGGAAGATGTTGATAAAAGATTTGCATTTGTTACCACTCTCCAGAAGGAAATTTGACACTAGGACTACTGTTACTGTGCTTGGGTATGCATTGCTATGTAGAAGTAGCTTTGTATTTAGGCATGTTAATCCTCTAGGCCAATTAGCTCGTGGTAACTGATTAATAGGAGTTCATCTAATTGTAAGTGCTATTATAGATTCTACAAATATTTGACTTGTGACTCACAGCAGAGCTCAGTAAAAGCCCTTCAGTCTAAACAAGCCTATACATTGAATAAACATAACTACCAAGCTATTTGGATTTGTCTACAAATGGAATAACTAGAACTCTAACATGACATTTGCTTGGAGTAGCAAAAGGGTAGGTGGCAAATAAATATTTGTTCTTGAACATTATCTAGCTTACAGCATTAGCAGACTTTTATTTTAAGAGAACAAGTCAGATCTACAGCTCTGAACCTTCCTTGCTGCACATCAAGGTAAACCAGGGCCTTGAACAAATACAGCCATGTGTCTGCCATGCTGGCATCTGAAGTCGTATGAGATAACACACAGATTAAGAAGATGCAAATAAGAATATAATCCCCTGCCTAGACAAAACCATAAAATGGGACCTGTCACCTTCCCCCCATCCTAGCCAACACAATGCCTTAGCTTTGGTAGTTCATTGTTGAACCTTACGTCAAGTGAATGAACTGTGCAAGTTACTTCAGTAAATGATACCTTCTCAAAAGGTTTATCAACTGGGTTCAGGCAAGATCATTTCCCTTACTTAAACAGAGAAACAATCTAAGATTGTCTGTTATTGTCATTCTCCTTTCTAACCTTGCTACAGAATTGCTGAAACAAGCCTGGCAGCTGCTAAAAGGGCAGTTCAATGCCAGAACAATGCCCGTTCACAGAGGGACTGCTCTCTCTTAACTATGACACCATCACAGGCCTGCAGCATTGTCAAATTTGAAATCATCCAGAAAACAAAATAGATTGGTGAAAGTCAGAGAGACATCAAGTATGTCTTGCCTGGCTGAGATACCGCGTTTCTTAACAGAACTCCCAAGTAGCATCCTGGAGGTCTGAAATGCCTGTGCTTTTGGGTAACTGTGCAATCCAATAATCTAACTGAAATGAATCTACAGTCCCTAATGAACTCTGTCAGATTAGATGGGAAGAGGATGAAGTGTTCCTCTTCCACCAGGGAAAAACTATTGCGCTTGAAATGCGTATTAGATTTTTTTTTTTTCTAAGTAAGTGTTTTAGGATTCAATTACTTCTGCTTCTGTAGAGAAACACAATGTTTAAAAGCAGGAAGTCCTGAAAACAATCCCTCAGATGCATTACTTAGTGTGAAAACCCAAGACAGAAGCTACCTGATCCTCACAGCTTCAGCGTCTGCTGTATCAGTGGTTCAGTATCCATCAACGAGCACCGACTGTTACCAGGGCTCACTGCAGCAGCAGCAATCTTGTAATTCACAGTAAAGCTGACCACGGTACTGAGATCTCACAGAAAATCTGCATTTAAAAGGTACAATGAGATTCACTTAAAAGATAAAATGTGTGCAATTTTTAAATGTTAGATGATTAAAAAGCAAGGTTTTAATTTAAAACATGCCTTTATCTAAATGAGCTATCAAAGAAAAATGCTGATTACAGACCAAGAACAATATAACAACAGCAAGGTCAGGAGAGGAATTCTGTGCATGGAACTATATCCTAGTCCACTTCCTTTAACCTAAACAAGCTTGTAAAGAAACAGAATTATTTGAGCTGTTTTCATATAGAAAGACTACCATTCTGACCATGCCATTACAGTCACCTCTCCTCCTTTTCTCCCCTCCCCCTCTCTTTTTTAGATGAAGGATGTTTTCTTCTTTCTGTTTTTCTTGAGTGTGTGGCTCATTGCCTATGGTGTGACAACTCAAGCTCTACTTCATCCCAATGACAGCCGAGTGGAATGGATATTCAGAAGGGTGCTTTATCGTCCCTACCTTCAGATATTTGGCCAGATTCCACTGGATGAAATAGACAGTGAGGAAATTTCTTTTGCCCCTAACTTGGGCATTTTTGAATGCACACTTCTGATTACAGCATGGAATTCCTTCCCAGTAATGTCCTTTTTGTTGTTGTTGTTTAATCTTTGTCCTGCAGGACAAAGCTTTCACATTATTATGATATAAATAGTGTATTTGCAGAGACATAATGTGCATTGTGGAATTACACTAGAGCATAAGGGCTGGCCCTATTTAGCCAAGCTGTCTGCAATATTCACACAAGGATTTTCAGTTTTAAAGGCTGGCATACCTTCCTTCACTTCAATCCATTTCCGTCCGGTTTAACCTAGACCCAGATAACCCTGTGCAAACGGAATGGCATCTCCATACATTTTGGCAGTAGTTTTAATGTGACAGTGTTAAAGCAATACAGCTCTGCCCAGAAGCACTTATGTTTGAGAATAAATATTCCTCTAGAGCATTTACTGACTCTGGAGGTAAAGCTGCCCAAATCAAATAAAGCTTGTAATTGCATATGTGCAACATTTCAAACACAACAACATCAAAATAATCACAAGACACCGAAATACTTGGACTTAAAAGTTCAAAGGCAACATTTCTGACAGGTAAGCAGCTAAAATACAGAACAGGTCATCTCCTAAAAAAGTCTGAAGTAATGCCATAGCATTTAGCCAGAATAACAGTGCTAAATGTCAGTGGCAATATTGAATTAGGATTCAAATTGAAGTAATATAGATGGAACAAAAAAAAAATCCCACAGACAGAAGCAAACCAGTAAGCATTCTTTCATATTAATTTTGCTTAGTAAGAAAAAGCATATGTCTTAGAAAAAGACAAAAAAGTATTTAACTTTAAATGTCTATGGCGTGAGCATGCACAGCACAACCAGTCACTCTTATTTCCATTGAAGTAACTGAAGAGAAACAAATACTTCTGGAATAGGATTTATCTCATCTGGAATTAGGTTTGATGTAGCATTCCCTAGAAATGTGTGTTGCTCTCCATTGAGAGTCCAAAGGGTGTCTTCACCTGGATAAATAACCAGGTAAAAGACACAGAAAAAAAGAATTTATTACACAGGCAACTTCCAGAAGGGAGTAATTTGTTCTGGGGTCCTCTGGGGATAATTCTGTTTAACATCTTTATGAAACATATGGAGAAGGAGATGGGTAATGAGGGGGACAAAATTTGCTGACAAAACTACATTACTGGGTAGTATAGACTAAAGCTGACATCTAAGAGTTGCAGAGGACCCTCATGAGTGCTAAATCACCAAATGAAATTCAGTGTAAATAAATATAAGGTGATGCACTGGGTGAAAGCAGTCCCAGCTGTGGTGAGCTTTGAGAGAACTGCATGCTCTGAGGAATATAATTATGGGGTTATCTGTGGCAGTAGGGAAAAGAATTATTAGTGAAAAAATGGAGAACAAAAAGTAAATAATCATAATGCTACTTTAAATCTGTGGATTTAATTCATAGCTGGAGACAGGAAACAGGGCTAGACCTCTAGTCTGATGCAGTAGAACCATTCTTAGCAATCTTGACTGGAGGCTGAGATGTACAAAGTAGTTTAAATTTAGAACGAGGAACCCCATTCCCAGATTTTACTGAGTTTTCTCTTCTAACACGCATACCAGCACGAGCACTGCGAAGACACAGGTATGCAGGGGAACACAACTGCTAAAATACTCAAAGGTGTTTTGCCTTTGGGAACTCACAACTAGTGTAAAAAGGACACAGCCTTTTCAGTACAACCCCCCTTGGGTGGATGCCACTAAAAAGGCAGCTGCAACAGCCACCTCGCCACTGAATGAACGGGCAGCCAAGGTCGGGAGGTCTGCCCTGTCCTAGGGTTGCAAACCTCTTGCACATTAAAGCCATGTCTCTTCATCGACACAACGCGCTTACGTTTTCACAAAACTAAAGACACTGCAAGTTAGTTCACATAAATGATCTGTCAACTGCATCAGTCCCAGCAGCTCAGGCAAAGAACTGTCCTTTTTGGGTTAAGAGAGTCTCGTATTTATGGTCCTGCTAGTAGTCAACAAGGGTAGTACAAAAATCCTACTACAATATTGGGTTCGAGCTTTTAATGATTGTAAAATATTTAGAACAAAATTATGCTGCTGTTTATATGCAGGCGAGATCAAATCTCATTTTAGTAATCAGTATCATCATTGTCCTTGATTTGTACCTTAGCAGTAAATGTACTAAAGATACGCATCCATTCTTGTCACTAGTTCTTGAAAAAAGACATGTTTAGAGACATTAATTCAGTTTTTATTTTCATTGAAATAGAGATGGAATGCATTACTTCAAACCTCTGGAACAATTTGTAATTCTTGCCATTCTTTGTTGAGTTAGAGATTTCGCTCACCAAAATGCAAAGCTTTTGTCTCCACCTGAAGAAATACATGTGGCAGTAGGAGTTGTTAAAACTATGCTATTATTTCTCGATCTTCCTTTGCAGCATCACAAATGCATCCCAGGAACTGTACATTTAATCCACTGCAGATTCTGCAGGAGAACTTGCCATCGTGTCCTAATAGCTATGCCAACTGGCTCGTCATCCTTCTGCTGGTCATCTTCCTACTAGTCACAAATGTTCTCCTTATGAATCTCCTGATTGCTATGTTCAGGTAAGAGAGATTCCAATAAGTATCAAGACAAAGGCTACAAAGGTTTAATTAATGCTCACATTTACTACACTGATGTTGGCTATTCATTTTGGAATACACTAATAATTTTTCTAATGAATATTATTTGGGGATTGATAGGTAGAATTCTGTGATCATACAGTTCTTAAGTTCTCATCATCCTCACTCTAGCCACATTAAAGACAAGACAAAAAGAAGCCTCTTTTACTGCTAAAATTTCAATTAAACGTGTAGAGAAGGGTCTGGTCCCTGGCTGTGCTGCAGGTGCTAAAGCAGCTGTAAACTTGGCAGACTTAACAGTGGATAATCTGCACAAAGGGGAAATGCTTGATGTCAACACGGTTAATAATGATTCATTTGGTTGAAGAACTGACGTGGCATGTTTGCTGATCTTGCCCAACTGAAGTGGAATTACCTTTCTTTTTAAAAAATATCTGATGTATTTTTTAACATTTGAAGACTGCAGCTGCAATTATTTTAATATCTAAGAATTTGCACAAACTTTAGATTAACACTACTTGCCAAGCTTGCTTTTTTAAAGTAAATGTGGAGCTAAACGTTGCAATACTAAGCTTTAGCTCGCTGTGGTAAAAACAGTTATATACTTTTCCCTCTCCCCCAATTACAGTTACACGTTTCAAGTTGTTCAGGGCAATGCAGACATCTTCTGGAAAATTCAGCGCTACAACCTGATTGTTGAATATCATGGCCGACCTGCCTTAGCACCACCATTTATCATTATTAACCACATAACTCTGGTTCTCAGAAGAATCTTCAACAAAATGGAACATAAAAAGGAACGTCTGGGTGAGTTGTTCACAAACATTTAGCAACCGGAGACCCTGACACTACCTAGGACATGCTGCACAGGCAAAACAGAAGAGCAATTAGGATTTCCTTAAGCCAAGAATCACAACTTATTTTTAACAGAGTGTGCCAGGAGAGTCCAAATGAAAAACTGAGGCTTATAATGCATCCTCTACTAGAAACAGTTTCCCAGAGTGCATTTCTTTATGCACCATAGTTATTACAACAAAGGTGTTGATATAAAACTGGTTAATGGCATTTGGTTTCTGAAGAGGTAACAATGGATAGGTTCAATGAATAGTTATTTCATTTGCTCCTGAATTTTAGTAATTATTAAGTACAGACAACCCTAAAAGCACATACCAAGTCTAAAATTCTAGCAGGATCAGTGGAATTTCCCAGTAGAGAGACATGGACAGAGAGGGGGCATGCTTAGAGAAACGGCGGTCCCTTAATAGGTATAATTAAAAAGGCAGATGAAGTTCAGCTAATTACAGAAGGCATTTGGGAGCTTTCTATAGCGATGGCAAACTTGGCCCATCTAGTTTAATAGTGTCTGATGATAAGCCTATTTCCTCCTCGTGCGCAGGCTGATCGTGGGCTTTGGAGCAGAACTGTTGTCAGACTGGACCAGATCAGAGCCCTTTGACTAAGCTCCTTTTCAGTGACATTCCTTCTGGCTATCAAAGCATATTGCTGAAGATTCTTCAATAAAAAAGATAAAATTTATTTTTTTCCCTCCTAAGAAAGCAAGTACCTGTCTGCTCAGGTTATAGATTCCGTAGGGTTTGAATCATGCAGCAGGTGTGCCCTTTTACCAATCTTTAGGAAGATACAAAACTAGTATGTTACATTCAAAACATGTTTGTGGAACTGCGGTCTTTAGTTGGCTGGGACACTTAACAACAGGCTTTATACTTCAAGGCGGAGGGATTTATGCACAGTTTGTCCTTATTTATAATTGTTCTAATAAAGAGGCTTAAATGATGAAGTGCACCTGGACATAAAGCTCTGCTCGTTAAATACTTTGGGGATAAAATATCTCGGAAAAAATATCTCAGTAAGGTTGTAAATGAGTTTAAATGGAACCACAGAAACTGGTCTGTGCTGTTCTTCAGAAAACTCGGGAGTCATATCCAACTGCAAAAAGGTCTACTGCCTTCCATCACAAGGAAAAGAAGTAGAAAATGCTTATTTTACATTTTCGTAACATGACACTTCTGCAATGGCAAAGGGGCTACAATGGCAAGACTTCATTCTTTAGCAGAGCCGCCTTCCATCACTAGTATAGCAGAAAAGGGAGTAAAATATAATTATTTTTTTTTTCCCCTACAGAGAGAGATCTTCCAGTTGGCCTAGATCAAAAAATCGTGACATGGGAGTTGGTGCAAAAAGAAAATTATCTTGGAAGCCTTGAACAAGAAAGGAAAGAAAGCAATGAAGAAAGACTGAAGGCCACATCTAATAAGTATGTTATTCTGACTCACAGTAAGTGTACCTTGCAAGTCTCCAGCTTTGAATGAGACAAACATTCAGACGCTTGTAGAGCTTATATGAAGAGTCCAACTAGAATGCAGTTAGGAAATATGGAGTCCATGAATAAATATGAGAAGCCACCATCACTACAATATTAGAAGAGCTTTTAGCACTCTTGAAGTATGTACAATTCCAGACCTGTAAGCTCCAGCCAAATCTGCAGTCAAGCTCAATGAAAATCATACTCACGAAGAAATGGTGGAAGAATAGCTCCTTTGCTATACTGCAGAGCATGTAGTTCTGTCCCCTGCAGGAATACAACACAGACTTTTGCATTAGACTTTTGAATGGAAGTTTAAGATATCTTGCATTGACCCCAGATGCAGAAGAACAACTATTTATGGCTTTATGGCATGAGACTACAGTTTTCCACAAGAAATTAATGATACTGGTTGTATTTAATTAACTGTATTTAATTAACTGAGTCTCCATTTAAAGACTTCTCTAAAATATCTCCCCGCTAGGAATACCACTTAAATTGATTCAGTATTCTAAATAAAAAGTCCTAAATTATTATTCAGAGGTTTACTCCTTTAAGTGAGACACAAAGTAGTTATATACAGGGAAAACAGAAACATCTAAGGCAGTACGGAAAGCCAGACAGCAAAACATTATTTAAAGAAGCTTTTAACACCCGTTTCAGCTGTTTCCTCTTAGGATAAAACTGATTTCAAATAAAGGCACAAGGGGTGTGAGTTCTCATAAGAAATTTAATGGGAATGTTCTTGTGCTCTGTTTTCTTTCTGTCCTGTCTTTCAAAACAACCTCCATCTGCCTAACTCATAGAATAGCTGGAGACCAGAACAGCGTACTTGAGTGTGTTCTTGGAAAATACTCTTTTCCCTCTAATCTACATAGACTCTTAATTCATAATAATTTAGAATTAGTATGTTGGCTTAAACTTGATTCTCATAAGCAGATCACTGACAAACCCTAGGAACCAGAGCTCAGTTGTTGAGATCAAGCAATAAACATACGTGTAATTTCTTCTAAAGGGCACAATTAAATTATTTCTGGCTTTAAACCTAGAAAGCTTTAAAGATGATACATTGTAGATGAAGCTACTGTTTGGAGGGGAAAAGTAAGAATCAGTGTGGCTTCGCAGTATTTCAGGTAAGGCAGAGCCAGAAAGAGACTGGGAAAGCCACTAAACCTGTGGCTTTTTATCTTTGGTCTTAGGTGGTAGCAGCGTGTATTTGAAATCTTATGAAACCCTCAGAACGTGATTCTTTGAACTTTGCACGGAACCAATCCCAAAACGCACGAGAGCCATCCAGCAGCACCTTTTTCACATGGACCCGAACGGAACGTAACCTGCAAGAGGGAAACTTTGGAATAGTAGTTAGGGATTTGAGGAGACAGCAGGGAATCAGATGCTAAGGACCCGATGGGAGAGGTGAAGGGTGCAGAAAGCATGTGGAGAGCACAACGATTTGGAGGCGGTAGAAAGTTCTCTACACAGTCTCTTTGGACTGCATGGAAAAAAAAGGATTTGAACGTCAAGCCAGTTTCCAAAACTGAAACCTTGTATAAATTTTAAGTGGCTCATCTTCCCCCTGTTGCTGGAAAATATCGTGGCCTCAGTTGTCACACCAGGCTCCGTTTACATTGGGTACAGGCGGGATGTAAGTGGCTGGAGGGACAGAGCAGGACCCGAGGCTCCTTTCCGCTGCCCGCGATTCCCACCGCGCCGGGGCTGCTGCCGTCTGTCCGTGCCCCAGGGAGTCCCGGGGCAACCGGTGCATGAGAGCGTTCCAGAAGTGCTGCTTGGCTCAATGAACGCTTGCGGGAGCCCCTCAAGAGGGGGCAAAACTTTCAGGGGGCTCTGGGACGTCTCAGCAGCACAGAACTGCCAGCGAGGGGCCTTGGCTCACTAGAGTTACACAGGGTTTGCCCTTCAGGATCTCTCCAGAGCCCCTTCCTTTTTGCTCAGCCTGTCTGCTTTGTTTCCACAGGGTGGATAACTTGTCTAAGTATTTTAGTGGACTGAAAGAACAAGAAAAGCGGTTTAAAGTTATGGAAGCCCAGGTAAGTAAGAGTTTTATAGGCATTTATATCAGATTTAGGATTTCACCATGTTTCTCTCATTTAATGGTGGTTTGGCAGACCCTATTTAGGGATAAAAGGCAGGAAAAATAGATCTGTATTACGGTTTCACTTTCCTTATTGTTTTCTCTCTGGTGATATACACAGGTAAAGAAATATTTCTGACCTCCAGTAGAAAGGGGAATACAGCATTTCTTGCTCTCTTTGCCAGTCCACTTGAAAAGTGTTTATTTCCTTCGCTAAGGATTCTTCTAGAAGCAAATGCTTCATCTTCCCTCCTCCATTCTTTCTTCTCACAAGCTTTTCTTTCTTTAAAACTGTCAACTTTGAAAACACCCATATTCTGTCTGACCTGACCTAGACTATCTTCTTAGACATCCGTTTTTCTAATTATATTAGATACCAGACACCAATGGCTCAAAGAGAAGTGTCTAATATACAACTGTGAAACACAAAGACAAGGAAATGCTATCTTGAGCTTTTGATGACAAACCTTTGAAATATAAACAAACATTTTTTAAACAGTCTGAAAATGCTCAGCATTACAACGTGCTACATAGCACAACTGTTATTTTCTTTGTCCCTAGCAGTCTCCAGTGTAATTCTGGCCTCACTGAAGTTCCTTATCTTAATGCTCCCATTGCAGTTTCCCTCCCCTTTCTTACCCATTTTATGGCTTCCTGAAAAAAGTCATGCTATTCAGTCAACAATGTTGACGCTGAATACAGGTCCAACAGGAACCCCACAAGAAATGCTTTAATAAGTTTGTGCCAGCTTGAGCTAATGCAATATATTCACAAAAAATGAATGGTATTTAAGATAAATCCTCCTCCAACAGTTCAACTCTATCTTTCAAAAAATAATAAATATATGTGGTATCTCTGATGCTGCTTCAGCCTGCTGCCTAGATTATCTTTCTTGCAAATTTAACAATCGATAAAGTACTACAAAAATTAGCTGATGTAGAAATCACTACCTATGTTGTAGATCTGCTACTGTACAGCTGTTATCTCCTCAGTGGCAGAGGTTTTAACCAAAAGCAACCTCTTGTGCAACCCACCAGCTCCCAACTATACATGTAAGTATTGAAAACAATCATGGAAAAGCTAATTAATACAGCCGAACAATTTAGTTTAAGAAATTCAAGCAAAAAAAAAAAAAAAAAAAAAAATTGGAAAAGAACCACATAAGGAGGTACCTCGAGGTAGTGGGAATATAAAGAAAGAACAGAATATTCACACTTCAGCACGAAAAAAATATCTTTTGCAAAGTATATCTAACAGCTTTGGGGAAATGGCAGTTCCTTAGTGTGAGTTAGAATGACCTAACCCAACTTTAAGCATGTAAATAAGTATCCATTTGCCACAGGGTTTCTGGAGAGGATTGTCTTGGGGGTTTCTTGAGTCGATGAGATAGTAGCACCAAAGGATTACCAAAACATTTAACACAGATAACCATAATCATTAAAAATAAAAATTAAAGTCGAGCAAGCCTCCTACTTTATTTTAATCAACACAGCTCATTTCCCTCCAGAGCTGCAACTATTTCTGTCAGCTGAGAGTCATCCTGTGTCCCAGGGCTCTGCTGCTTGGAGTTTAAAACATTAAAGACAGAAAGAAACTATTTCTCAGCCACTGCAGGATATCCAACACAATAAAGATTTTGGATGTTGTTCTTAATGATTTATTTTAATATCTACCTATTACTAGCTATTACACACAAAGCCCTCCAGAACCCATAAACTGAACACATACATACTATATGGGAAAAAGAAGTAGCTGGAAACTCAGCAAGTCGTGACACGACAAACCCTTCACTCACTCAGACTTGCACTAACCTCAAACTTGATTTAACTCTGTTAGAAGCTTATTAAACACATATGTAAATTGCCTCATTATCAACATTCCAGTAAGAAAAACCATCCTGTAGCATGATCCCCAGACATTTTAATACTGTAACTGCATAAAAATCAGAAACTTAAATAGGTGAAGAATAAAGAAGCAGCCTGTTTATATCATTTACTGAGCAAATGCAAAGTAGTAGAATCTACAGTATCTTTTTATTGTGGATTATTTTCAACATTTTAAAGTTTATTAAGCGATTATTCTTCTATGCCCCTTGTCCCAAGACTTTTAAACAAGCATGTGGCTTTTCCAATCCTATTAGGTGTGATGAATGCTAACACAGAAGTGGCTCTGCCAGGAAGAAGTGAAAGAGAAGAGCGTGCAGATCAGTCCGACACTGACATCACATACATCGATAATTAAATTTTGTTCTCATTTCTTCAGATTAAACCTTTTGTCCCGCTGAACTACTGTAGAAGTAAAATCTGATCTCATGAAGACCCAAGGCCCAGCTCTCAAAGCCTTTATGCCAAGCACTGTCAACATTTGACACTACTGAGGATTTCCTGGTCATCCTCCTTCCTTGGGCTTTCTCCCCTCCTGCTCCTGTATCACTTGGTCCTTTCTCCAAAACTCCATTCTGTGAATCTCACTAAAAACTTTCTCCTCCAGGATGACTCTACCACCTCATTTTCTAAATGCGATCTGCCTTCTGACCTCCAAATACCACACCCTCAATCTGTCATCATCGTTGCGAATTTCCACATTCCTCTTTTGAAACGCGATCATTTACACACTAAAACCCATTCCACTTCCTCGGCCAAGAAACCAAGCTCATATTTCTGAGTTGCTTAGAAAGGAAATTAAGAAATACTTTCCACAGGAAAGGGCCTGGGATACTGAACTTACAGTCCATGTAGTTCCTGGAGTTCTTACAACCCTCACAGGACCGCACTCACCCTCCTCTCTTCCCGCGAGGCGTTCCTTAGCGAAGGCTCCTCACCCATCCCGAGACCGGAACCTCGGCGCACCGCCGAGTGCACGGTGGCCTCAGCCACTTCCCACACACAAGGCCGGTGACCCGCCGCCACTGCCGCTTGCTTGCTTTTTTGCTTCTACCCCAGATCCCAGCTGCTCTCCGCTCGCTGATGTGAGACTTTGCCTTTATGTATCGCACCACACGGAACACCGTGTTACACCTAAGTGCTTTTCTCATTTCATTTTAGCTTTCTCTTTCAAAGGTCAGGGAAAAAATATCACTTAGAGACTTTAAAGCAAGAATGTGTTGCAAGAACTCTCCTACAAACTAGGAATTTGGACTGCGTGTCATTTTTTTTCATTAAACTGGCATGCACATTTTTAGCACACAAAAGCTAGCTGGCTTTGTTAGAATTCTGTGAAAAGATACACCAATAAAATGAGTATCACTAGCATCCTTTTAAAGGAAATTTCTTTGGAATATAAACAGCAGCAGAAGGGGGAAGTATTGGGTTGTGGTCTTTGTTACATTAATAAGCTTGAACTGAACTTTATTTCCTCATACACATAACACTGCTTCTATGCAAAATAAACACAGGTTGCACCAAAGGCTCTGTTACCAGAGACAGAAAAAAAAAAATTTCAGTTCTGATAAAAATACCTTTCCAACATGAGCCTTTTATGAATAGATATTAATCTTCTTACAACGTCTTCATAAATAGGCATTTGTCCAGTTTATTCAGCCGTGCCCCAGACCTCAGTGACCCCCATTAACAGTGAGGGAATTTCGGTACTGTCTTACCTGTTCTTCAGCCTAGGCAAGGCAAAGTTATAAAACCAGTAAGTTTGTACTGAGCTACATTTTTTTGTTTGGAAATAATAAATACCTTACAACCAGCATGCCCTGCCCTTGGCAGCAGCTTCTATTCTGAAACAGCTACTATTTTAATTGTGATCAGCACATTAATTATCCACTGGAAACCAAAATTTCCAAAATTTTTGAGTAGTTATGTCTCACTCACATGCACCAGAACAACTGATGTATTTAGCAATGACCCATGAATTCATGTGCATCAAACTGTATACTCACAAGAAAATACATTCTGCTTTCAAAATTAAAAGGTGAATTTCAAAAGATGGAACACTATTACTCATTTTACATTGTCTTATGCTTCTGCTGCCAAGTGACGCACCTGTTCAAACCCTCAGACCCAAATGATCTGGGCCTACCAGTCCATTATTGGTGAGATGCTAACACCCCCCCGTCGAGGAAGTAACCTCCTCAAATATCCTTCAGAGTTTGAGCAAGCACAATCTAGCAAGAAAGGTCACAAAGTCTAAAGAAGCAATCTTTCACTACACGGTTATAAATACTAACATTGGCATTTGTTAATTTAGAATACTGGCAAAAAAGTGCCAGTCCAAACTGACCTGAACCAATTTGAATTTCAAATCATATAACCTTTCAAAGAATTTAATCTTTCAATCTTATTTATAAAATTTATTAACATTCTATGTAAAAAACTACTATATTTGACATTCATTACAATGTGATTCATTGCATGAGGTGTTTCAGCCTATGAGGTGATTCTCTTTATATATTGTGAAACCATTGAAAATGTTAAAAATGTGAATTTAAAAATCTAAAATACAAGACTTGAGGGAGAAGTTACAGGACGGTAAGCTCAGAGCAACATTCTAGATGATTTTCAAGACAATTCTCAAATCAAATAAACTGAGCATTTGTTAAAACTCTTATAGCTGCATTAATTACCATGGTTCAAAGAGATGAAATCAAGCTACAACTAAAAGTTTATTGAATGCCAAAGAACAAAAAAGTATCCAGTTCTGGTATAAATACCTCATTCCCACCAAATCCACACACAGAATCAGTGTGGAAGCAGTGCATACGACGTGCAGGCCAAGAATCATCACATCATGTCATACCAGTAAGAGGAAAAGCTGCTGCCCAACTTAACAGCTGAAGCTGTTGTGAATTCCAACCTACACTCAACGTGGTGAGACTTCGCTGAAGCCTGAGCGCGTCTTCACCAGGATGTATCCACAGTTATATCTATCCACAGGAAAGACCGTGGTTTTTTAAGATCTTTATGTAACACTAAAGAAGGTAAATATTTAAGCCAACCTTAAAAAAATATTGGTTTTGCCAGTTTCCACCTGGGCCTTCCAAACTCATGATTGGGCACTGTTGTGCTTTTATTCTCAATGGCAATGAGGAAAGGATGGTTTTTGGAAAAGAAAAAAAAAAAAAAAAAAAAAAAGTCAAGTCTCCCTCCCTGGGACATAGCCAGGAGAAATCACATCTAGTAGAAGACTAGGTTTTATTTTCATTGTTCAAAAATCTCTACATAATGAGCTCATCATCTTTGTTCCAGGATTCTACAGGATTTGAGAACAGCTCTAAATTTGGGGGGTTAGTAGGAAGCCTTGCAGCCTTTTAGCTAGCACATCCTTTTCTTTGGCTACTTCAGCTTCAGAGCAAGCCCCGGGAAGCTGCTCAAGCAAACAAAGCGCACCTCATTCTCTCCTGTGAGGGTGCAGCTACACTGTGCTCACAGACTTCTCAAGAATGAAAAGTCTGGAGTGTATTTTAGGTAGCTTAATTTCTAACAGTGTAAAATGTTCTTGGTGACTATGATGCAAGCTGTTAGATAAAAAGCTATCACGTGGTTTCCCGACCAGAAAAAGAAGTCAGAGAAAAAAACCAAACATATCCAAAGACAATACAGGTCCTTGGACGTCTCCAATGTGCTCAATCCTTCAGGACTCTTCCTCCTCCCCTTCATCATCTACTTTAGGTCGAAAATTTTTCCTACTCTTCTTCTTACTGCAGTGGAAGCCAACTGTTTCCACCGATGGCTCTTCACCTGTGCCACTAAACCCTGCACTAAGCTTACCTTCTGTATTCAGATCCCCCGCCATCATGCACTCCTCCTCCTCTGTTGCCCTTCCACTTCTACTATCTAAGTGCCCCAGCTCTACTTTATCTTCCTCCCTCAAGTCATCAGCCCTCTTCAGAGATTTTCCTTTCAGATCTGTTTTCATGTGTTTCTTATCATCCTCCCCTGCTGATGTTTTCTTTTCCAGTCCATCAACACCTCTTTTTGCTGGTTTGGTGAAGACAATCCGCCCAGCTCCGCAGCTGGAAGGGTCCTGGTTGAAGTACGGGGTGTAGCTGTCTTGGGCAGCTGAGCTTTGTTCCTCCCCTCTTTTCTTTAAACCCTCCAGAAATTCCATGGCCGCAGCCCTGTTAGTCTTGTCACTAGACTCTGAAACGCCATCTAGGCTGTACTTGGTCCAGCGCTCCGGGTGCGCCACGTAGTCAGGCACTGCAGGAGAGGTTTTAGGGGCCTGCACTGGTTTGGCTTGCTTTCCCAGGCCGCCTGGAACCATGTGATCTGAAACTGTGGCTGGAGGCAAAGGACGCTTAAACCTCCCATCAACAACATTATCTTCAGGCATCGAGGGCACAGACAATTTGGCCGCCTCTTCCAGGCAATCAAAAATGCTCTGGCTACGGAGAGAGAACGTAGAACTCATGCCCCTCAGATGGAACGGCTGGACAGGAGATCTGTGACCACTGCTTGAAGAGTCAGGGGTCTCCCCTGACCTGTAATCCCCATCATCTACAGATGGCTCCTCAGGAGATATTGTATCAACTTCTGCTTCATCTGCCAGCCCCAAATCATCAGAATCAGAATCGCTGAGCGACACTGTGTCTGAGGGCAGAACTCCTTCGTAGTCTGTGGCACCACCAGCCGCTATCCCCAGAAAGGGTTCACCTGCATCCTGGTCTCCCATCTTCGAGCTGTCACTCCACTGAGGTCCTTCACACAGGCCCAGCTGCAAACTCGGTTTTCCAAAAGCTCAGCAAGTTTAGTGCCTAGAATACAATGGAGCATAAAAATTCAAATGTGAAAGGAGAACCAAGCATGAGACCACCATTCTGTGCCATGCAAAATAATGATTCCTGCAATATAACAGACAGCTGTATTTCAGGGATTCCTAAGTAATTTTGCTTGAAATAAAAAAAATTATTTAAGGAATGAATGCACATTAAAATTACAGACTGAAACAAGACTCAGTACAAGAATATGAAGTAATTAAAAATAGCATTGCACAGCAAATTTCATTAAAGGTTACAGCAAGTCCAATTATTAAAAGACAAGCATAAAGTTTCTGAGCAAATCTGAACACCCCATAACTGTCTTACACATCTTCCAAGAGACAGCAATGACCTCTCCAAATTACACCCTGCATCTATCATACTGTATAAATCCACAGAAACACATCCTAATCTCTCACACTTTCTTTTGGCCATTATAATCCTTTATCACATTAGCCACTCTACCTCCTGTCCCAATAATCATCACCTTCTGCCTATTCTAAAGGACACTATCACTGATTGAGGCCTCAGGGCTACAGTTTCAGGATCGCTTTGAAGTGACATAAAGTACAAGCTCTTCTCCTTCCTTGAGCTTAAGCTCTCGTCATGACTAGATTCCTGGAATCAGAAAACAAGCCAGCTCAAGAAATCAATCCTACTGGCTTAAGAAAAGTAAACGCACGTGCCATGCTTGTGCACAGAAACAAGGGGAGGGTGCAACCGGGGGTCTGCAAGAGCTGGCCCTTCGGTTGGTAAAAAGACAGTGTGATTTGAAGCCTGACTTCCAGTAGCAGCTGAAATACTTGATTCACTCTGCACCTGTGCAAACAAAACCTCGGGGCACTGAGACTGTGGATGATCGCACTATCACTTGCTGGGCAATTGGAAACAGAGTCGGCAAACAGGCACCTCAGTCCAGCTCTCAAAAACATGAATTAAAGAACAGTTCTAATACCCTATTAGAATAAGCTCAACTACCTAATTACAGGTTCTTCTGGAACGATGCAGTAAACAGACGTGGAAGGTCTGTTAGTCACTCACTTTCTCTCGAGACTGAGTCAGCTTCCCCTCCTGAGGGTCAGTTAAAGCCACCAAAGATCTCAGCACTTCCACCCTAGAAAACAGACATTTCCATCAAGATACTGGAAATGTAGTTTCAAAATGAGTTTCAAAAATAATTCCTTCCCCCTGAGTCATCCAAAGCTGCAGAACTGAGTTCTAAATCTGACACAAAGTCACGCTGGTATAAAAATCTGCAGATATTCCTGGGTTTTTGGCAAAAGAACACCACACAGACTAATCAGGAAGGCACCACTACATTTACTCAGTCTCCACATTCACACTGCCAACCTTATTCTGTAGAACAGAAGAGAGGTTTTAAAAAAATAAAGCTGTAATTTGCATGTGCAGTGAACCACTACTAAACGAACGGTATTAAATGCAGCTAAGAAAATGTAAAAATAATAGCCATGGATTGCAAGTACTAAGTGCTGCTAAGGACCATGGACACCAGGGAGTTGTTTGTAAAGAAAGGTCACGTTGACAGTTAGGGCCAGATCTTCATAAGTAATGAAAACAGAGAAACTTCTGAAGAATTCAACAGACCAAGTGTTATGTTCCATGCAAAGTCTGGCTGTCTTTGACAAAAGGGCTCTGATGACTGCTTTAGAAAACATTGTCCTCAGCGTAAGCCCTAAATGGGAAATAAAGATCTGAAAATCATTCTTCTGATTAATTTTATAACACAGGAAAAGTAATGACTACAAGCCAAAAGAGACATTAAAGTGCATAACTTGACTAAACCGGCTGTTTTCAGACAGCAGTGTGGGTTCACCCCAGGCTGCGAATCAGGGTATCTCTTGTCTGAGGGATGTTACACAGAAAGGAAAAAGTTTGCTCCTAAGGAGATGTTTTAGCCCTAACAGCACCAACAGCCAAACACAGCGACCCTCACAGCACACCACACAGACTCACAGCTTCGTTACGGTGACGCAATCGCAGCACAACTCGGATAGGATGGCATCTCTCTGGATGGGAAGGTCCCCGTCAGACTCTTCCATCCTGGTCTCACGCCTCCAGGTTCCGTCTTTCTCCGCGCAGCCTGTGAGGAAAACGGAGACCCCAGTCACTGCCAGCCAGGGCCACCAGTCCGCTCCCCGCGGCGGGGACAGAGCTGCCAGCAGCCCCCCACCACCAGCGACACGGCCCCTCGGGACAGCGCTCCCACGGGCCGCCACACCATGGCAGAAGGCAGAGACCCCCGGGCCCTGGCCCACGCCCCCAGTGAGAGTGGGAAACGACAGATCCACGGCTTTGCCCGGCGTCACCCCACAGCCCAGCTCCCTTCCCCGGGCCGGGATCCTGTCGGATACAAAGACCAACCGCCTCCCCGGGGGGCTGCCACCCTCCTCTACCCCCACACCTTTCTCCTCACGACACAGGGGCGCCCGGAGCCCGCCCCTCCCTCGGTGCACGGAGGCCACCAGCCCACCGCCACCTCCGAGCACAGGGCGCGAACCGGCCCCTCACAGAGCGCGGACCCAGGGCCTCAGGGCGGCCGCCCGCCTTTCCCGCCTCCCGCCGCGGCGCGGGGCACGCTGGGACACTGAGTCCCCACCGGCCGCCACGGGGCGGCAGAGCACGGCGGAGAGACTACAGCTCCCAGCAAGCCTAGCGGCGCGGAAGGGGCGGGAAGCGGACGGCCTCCCGCCGTCGCGCCCTGGGAGCTGTAGTCGCCCGCCTTTCCCCCGGCGGCGGACATTTTGAGAGCCGGGGCGTCAGCGGCCTGCTGCAAAAACGGGGCTGAGCTCCCGCCGCCGCCGCGGCGACGATGGCTCCCGGGCTGTGCGGCGCCGGCCGAGCGCCCGCCATTTTGCAGTCTGTGAGGAGACGGGGCGGTGCTGGCGGCTGAGGCGCGATGGCCGCCCCGCGGGCATCCCAGCGCCGTGACGGGGCTGGCGGCACGGCGCTGCCTCCCGAAACAACCAGAAAACAAACAAACAAACAAACAAACAAAACACAACCCCAAAACATGTTAAACAGAGCTTTTTTTCCTCATCAGAAAAGCAGGGTTTAGCCACAATTAAAACTTCAGAGGAAGTGAATTTTCTGTTTCGTTCTTTTATTGTTGCTGTTCTTTGTAGTGTATTTTCTAACCAGAAAACCCCAAGTCACTTGGGGCATAAAACCGCTATCCACTTAAAAAAGTTTCCATTTTCTGTCCCAGAAGAACATTTTTTGTGTGTGCGTCAAGAAGTGGAATTCTGTCTGAAGATGTTTTATTGGTGTTGGACAAAGTTGCCTGATTATTTTTTCCACCCCCTTCTTTCAACAAAAAGTTTAAATTTTCAGTGGAAATACATTTCCCAAGTGGCATCAATATTTAGCTTGTTTACCCTATCTTAAAAGAAAAGGCAAGGCATTTGCAGGGCTGGACTCCCTCTCCCTGGCTTGGGCTCTCTCACTGCCTTGCCTGGGCCTGGGGCTTCATCGTTAAATTAAATTAACGCCCGCAAAGGGTGTGAGCCTCTAAAGGTCACAGTCTTCACCAGATCACCCTGCCCTGAGGGATTTTATATAGACCTTGAGTACAAGCAAAGCTCATTTATGCCGTTGTTTTGCAACAAAAGAAGAAATTACCACGTAGCCCTACTTTGTCTGATTTTAGAGGCACTTTGATTTTCTCACCGTGGCACCCCAATCCCGCTGCATCGCCGGTTGCTTTGCCGATGGGTTTGCTAGAGGTGAGGCTGTGGCTGCGGCCGAGGAGACTTCACCGGATCCCTTCCAGCGGGGCCTCACTGAGTCACCCATAATATAAACTGCAGCCACTTCATTTGCATTGTCAGTTTTTAAATATATAGTTTCTCCTGCTGGAGTGTTGCTCGCTACAGTAGTTTATACGACAAGGGCTGCGTTTGGAACTCATTTGGCAGCAATGATGAGGTTAGCGCAAAATGTCTTCCGTCTGGCTGGAGTCGTGCTGTAGTTTTAAAACAACAGCTCTAGAGGTGTTTCCCCATTTGATGATCCTATTCTTTTAATGTATACACATATGGTATTACGGTCACAGGCATTCAAATGGGCTCCCTGCTGGAGGGAGGGAGGAAGGATAACACAAGTCTTCTGGTAGGAGAGCAGGAACGGATAGGAGAAGGGGAGTAAATGGGCAAAGGGAGCCAAGAGTAAACCATGGGTGAAGGCTGCCAGTCCTGTGTGACGCTGTCTAGGGTGTCGGGGACACACCAGGAGCGAGACTTGGAGGGTAGTGAGTGGCAGGCAAGAAAGGGATGTGGAGTAAGACAGTGGCATGTCCTGTTTCTGCAAGGCAAGCAGAGTACACCACAGACTGGCACTCTCTTTTGAGCCCTGGTTCAATGCTAGATGAGGAGCTCGAGGGGGCACACGAGGGCAACACCACCTCCCCTGTCTCCATCACCTGTGGATGGGGGGGGTGCCTTCAGGCACAAGCCCCATTCCTCCATCCAGGGGCTACGAGGTTTTTTGCCTGGGTGCGGTGTACGTTGATGACCAAGGTCACCTTCAGAAGATGACTGTACTCTTTTCCTCCTCCCTGCCTTTTGGCAGAAGATTTAGTATCTCACACTGCGGAGAACTGAGGATGAGCTGCTTTTCCTTTGGTGGCTGAGGACAAGAAAGTTTGCAACGGTGGATACGCTGGTGTGTTGGGATTTTCACTATTGCTTGGCGACAGCTGAAATAAAAATAATGAGTCAGAGGAACAGATGGTAAAAGCGTTTTCCCCTCGCCGGCATGAATTAAGGTGTCTTGAGGAAGGGTGGGGGGCTGGAAGGCAGATCTAAGTTGCAGCACAGGATATTGCCGAAGGGAGCGGGCCGGATCCTGCGCGCGGGCTCCGAGGGGCCAGCACCTTGTCTGCGGGCAGCCAGCACGGCCCTGCGTGTGCGGGGCAGTGGGTTGTGCAAATACCTACCAGACTCAGCCCCATTACCGGGCGCCTCACACTCCTTTCTTGCAAACAAATCTGTCGTTTGGCCCCCACCCTGTAACTGTTTCTGCTGCTCACTGGCAGGCTCCTGCTGGCGCAGGCGCCTGGCAGGGACCACTGGCCCCTCTCCCATGGCTGCAGGAAAGCGGCGGGCGATTCCCTAGCAGCCGCCCAGATCCTGCAAGCCAGACAGAGCATTCAGATGCATTTTTACCATCTCCTGCGTCCGGAAGGAGTATGAAGGTTAGTCTGGTACAACCACACGCAGCTGATGCTGGAGCTCCTGAGGGGAGGCGGGGAGGGAAAGGGAGTATTTTCCTGCAGGCAAAAAGCAAAAGCACAGAAGTGATCACCGAATCCTTCTCTGCTGAGAGGAGGCAGTCACACCAGGCCAGGATGGGTACTGGCTGAAGGAAATAATTTGAATTGCCCTCTCCCATTTTCAGGAAGAAGAGCCTGAAAATGGCTTTGAAATCAGTCTCCTGTGAGATGAATTTCCAGGATTCAGTGCTTGGCACTGCCTCTCTTCTGCACCGAGCTTGGCTTACCTGTTTAACTTTGCACTTTCATTTGATCCTGGCTCACCTGCAAGCAGCTTTGATTTATTCCAGTACTGTTTACCCACATTGGTGCTTTTCCCCCCCCTAAGGTAACTACATAAAATTAGTTCCTGTCGAGTGAGTTTTAATGCAGGCAGGCAATGAAGGCCTTCATCAGCTTGATTCTTCACAATAATAATGTTATTGCTGGCCTTAAGTGGACCTCCAGGGAGAACCCACAACCCCTTTGCTGTTAGAGACACTGCATGTGTGGGAGGGAACTGAAGTCATTTAAGAGCAAATTAAAACTCTCTGCAATTATTTGAAGTTTTTAAAAGAAACAAAAACAATTGGGGGTCTCTGTTCATTTTGATTTAGCTACAGAATATTTGTACTACAAAACCCCTTCTCCTAATTCTCGCTTCTTTTTTTTTTAATTTCCTATCATTGGCCCCAGTGTGCCCGATACTAACAGCAGCAGTGAAGGGCTGAACGAGGTCGCTGGAGCCAGCTGAGGGCCTTGAAGTTAACAGTAAGAAAAAAAAACCACAAAACCCTGAGACTCCCCAGACCTTTTGTTAGAACATGACCTGTAGGAACTTCATTAACCGACACAACTTTGTAGCCAAGACCCGGCTTTGCATTTAACACCACTGACCTTTGCTGGAGGAAATCTTCCCAGTTGATGGGCAGCCGGCAGGCAGGGTGTTGTGTGTGCACCCTCCCACTTCTACTCGGCAAAGCTGTGTTCTAACATGAGAGAATGCCCTAGTACAGCATGGCCAAGAAACACCTTCATTTTTTTTGAAAGGAAAAGGTGTGATTAAACACTAATTAGAAATGTTACTCACAACCACTGGCACTTGAGCTGGGTCATCAAAACCCGGTGAGAAATGCCAGGCAGTTCATGCTAACATGCCTGGCTGCGAAGGTTTTGTACCCGCTGATGTGTCTGTGAGCGTGAAAGCAACATGGGTTTCAGTTGAGCAGCAGTTTTAGCGGCTGGGAGACATTTTCTGGTTTGCTCCAGGTCCCCGGGGCTCTGAAGTGAAAGCATCAGGCTGCCGGAGGTCGGCGGAAGATCTCGCAGCGGAACAGCGCTCCGTGCCCTCCTGCCTGGGCTGTGCCCTCTGCAAGGCGATCTGACGCTCCCCGGGGCTGGAACGGAGAGCAGTGGCCAGACAGAAACGCGTGGGTTAACACCTGGGGTTTCCAGCCTGTGTCTTTATCACTTAACCAAGAGCTGGTCAGGTAGTTAATTGTTTCCCTCTCCCCCTCGGCACCCACTGACAGCAGATGTGCCCTCACTGGGGGCTGTATTTCCACTCACCTCCTCTCCCGCACAGCCATAGCTTCCCACCCCCACTGTGGCCTGGCCAGTAAATGAGGTTGTTGAAATATTCACCTTTTCTTTCCAGTCTCCTCTGTTGTCAGCAGCTCGCCCTGGAGCTGAATCTCCCTCCTCTCCCCTAACCGAAAGGGCGGCAGCAGAGGAAACAGCAGTTCAGGGCAGGAGTGTGAGCGCAGCCGCTCCCTAACGCATCCCTCCTCGCTGAGCCTGGCAAGTGGAGCTGGCAGGCAGAGGGGGCTGCGGCCGGGAGCCAGCAGCGAGGGGGCTTTCCTCTGCAGAAACCTCTGCCATAAACAGCTCTTGCATGGGAGAGCTGGCCGGGCTTTTTCCCCTCCTGTGGGAATATTGCAAATCTTGGTTAGAGCTTAGACAACCTCTTATTAGGGAACGGACAAAAGCAATTTAAACGTGTTAGTCGCAGCTTTGTCCTAATAGGAAACAATTAGGCACTTAAAACACAAACAGCCCAGAAGAGGCTGACAAAACAGAGCACAAAATACCTCCAAAACTTCTCGTTAGAAACAGTCAGGAGGGTTTTTTTAAAAAAAAAACAGTTTGGAAGGGTGGAAGAAAAGAATTCCACTGGAAGAATATCCCAACTTGGTCTAGTTTAGAAAAACTCACACTTATATATTTTTTTTTGTGAAAATCCTCATCTCACAAAAAAGATTCCAGCCATATTCCTAGGCATCGGAAGGCCACAGTAAGGTCTCCAGTGACCTTCCACATCTTTCAGACCTCTGGAGAAAAACGTTTAAGAGAAGCAGAAGCCCGGGTTGTCGGTGCAATATGAGAACCAGCGGGCTGCAAGCATTCCACCCACCCCTTCCCCTCACGGTGGTTTATCCGTGTGGCCTCACGTGCTCCTCCACAGCAGGACTGCTGTTTTCCGAGAACAACCCCTGTCTTCAGTTAAGAGCGCCTTAAAGGGGCTGGTTTCACCCAGTCCTCTCCCAGCACCTCAGCCCAAGCATCGCGTACAGCTCCTCTGTTTCGAGCACGTCAGTGTTAATGCTCAGACAGAACCAACGGAAGGGACTGCATTTAGCCAGGGAAGGTTTAAGATCCCGGCTGCGCTTCCAGGCCGAGGTCCCAGGGCGCACATCCCGGACGCCAAATACGCGCTGTGCTTTGCCAGGGAGTTTCCACTATCGCTTCTCCCCCTGTTGAACACCAGCCCGAGACTGACGGTGACTCACATCAGCTTAATCCTAGCTCCAGAGGCAGGAATCATTTTATCCCCATCTGGAGCAACAATACAATCCAAGTGTTTTAAGGCATGAAGCAAAGAGCATCACGTTCATGGGAAACCACTAGAGGGTCAGCTAAGGACTGCGTTCCCTGCAGCCCGAATTTTGCTTGAATACAAGAACGAGGCGAGCCTGTTCTCTTGGAAGACGTGGCAGGAATCCGCTTGCGACGGAAAGAAACAAGATCTGACAACACATCATTAAAAATCCACCAACGAGGGGTTTTGCTTTTTTTTTTTTTTAATTGTTTTTAAATATAACTCTTTTTTTTTTTTTTTTTTTTTAATCTTTCCAGAAGTCATTATGTCCGACTCCATTAACATTCAGGTGAACAAGCGAAAGAACAACAGATGGGCATGATCTTGTAGCACAGGCACAGCCGCTGGGAGTGGGGCTTGCCTTTCCCCGCGGCGGCTGACCGCGGCTCTCCCTCGCCCGGCATTCCCACCCCCTCCGTACCGGCACGGCCGGTGGCTGGGACACCCCGGCTTCACACAGAGGAGGGCAGGAGGCTGTGGGATCCCGGCACTCGGCCTCCCCCCTCGCTCCCCAGCCAGGCTTTCCCCAGGCCAGGGGGGTGGGGGGTGGGCCATGGCAGCGGCGGTGGCATGACCAGACCAACTGCAAAAATCAGCGCGGCCGAGGCCGTTTTGGGCCGGTTTCAGTCACTTTAGGAGAAGCCCCATGGGTGTGCGCAGTACTGTCACCGCAGCCCCCCCCCTCCCCAAATTTCAACACAGTCGCTTTATTTTGCAATCCACATTAGCTCCCCCCACAGCTGTGCCCCCCTTCCCTTGAAAAGGGGGGGGGGAACAATTGCAGCAGCCACCGCTGCCGGCAAGCAACCTTTTTTCCTTCCCTCAGCACCATTCTGGATGCGTCCCCAGCCTGCCTGCAGCCCCCTCCCAGAGGCTGGAAAAACCCGTGCTGTTGAAGCCTGGTTCACAAAGCATCCTTGGTGTTAAGGTTAACTGGTTGTAAAACTGCAGCGGTTCATCACACTATGCACACTATGAGAAATGTTTATTAAATTGATTTTTGTTTCATTTCTTTTTTTTTTTTTTTAAAAAAAAAAAAAAAAGGCAGAAAGAAGTTAAACACACTGCTTTGTGGCATGCTCCACAGTATGAAACAATCCCGAGCATTCAGTTAAGCTGTCAGCGGCTCTGTTTGACCTTCCAACGTGGTCTTTGAACTCAGATCTGGACAGTTCACTCTCCTCTTCCCCACCAGCCTCTCCCCGCCTCAGCTCACAGCCATTTTCTCCGCTGGCACTAGCTCCAGGAGAATGGTTCCCTGCAGAGGGAGGGCTCTGTGTTTACAGTCCACGGTTTCATCATTTGTTTGGGTTTCGGGGGTGTGGAGAGGGGCAGGAGAGGGCCCCACATTGCACACACAAACGCGCGGGCATGCGGGAGAGGCTCTGGGCCAGGGCAGGGGTCCTGCCTGGTGTTTTTTTTTTCCCCCTTCACCTCAGCCAGCTCTGGGACTGCCCAACGACGGAACGAGTCCCCTCAGCCCTTCTCAGCTCCCTCGGGTTTGCTTTAGCTCAGGTCCAGCTTCACAGGAGGCCAGACTAGAGGAGACCTGAGCGGGTAGTTTTTCCTGTGAGTTGTTTCTCCGCTACTTCATCGTTCTTAACCATGATGGTTCCTCTCTGTCCCTCCTCTCCCAGGGCGGACCCCTCCTGCTACAGCTAATGCCCATTCCATCGAACACTGGGACTCTCTCGGCTAGTAACTCCAGCGAAAGCATTACCTTCTCCCTACAAAATTCCTTCTGCCCCCTCCCGCGACCTTCCCAGCTGCCGGCAGGGACAGGAGGCGGCCCAGGGAGCCGCCTCGAGCTCCCCGCAGCGACCAGCCGCCCCTGAAAGGAGTCAGAGAGCAAACCGCAGCCCGTGAGGGACACGGCCTGAGCCAACGTCCTGCTCTTCTTCCTCCCACAGCCCTCGGGCTGCCTCTCCAAGTGCCCCTTTCTCCCAGTTGCTCCTGCCCCGGGACAACCCAGACCCCTAACGCTACCGTGTCCAAGGACACGCCTGACCTGCATCGAGACCCAGTCCGTCTTCAAACAGAGCTCCAGCTACATACACAGCATCAACTGAACGCTGAACAATATCAAAAATACGGTATAAGGAAAAGAAAACAGAACTGAAATGCTTAATGGCATATTTATACACATTTATCAACAGTCAACAAAAAAGGCGGCAAGTTACACATCCATTCTGTATGCTAACAATCCCGATGCACATATATGTAAACACACATGCTTGGCTGATGCATATACGTATAGCCACATAACAGAGTAGATGACCTGAAGGAGCTACGCTGGGGAGCAGGGGAAGGGGTTACCTACTGCAAAACCTCGTCCCATTCTCAGTGTGCACAGCGGGGACATTCAGGGCAGTGTTGCTTTAAGGCTGTTTCTAAGGCTGAATCTTTTCGTGTCCAACCCCTCGATCCGAAGTTCTGTTGAAGCTCTTCCTCCTCTTACCCAGCACAACTTGAGATATATATATATATTTACCTATATACTTTTTAAAGGCCCTATATACTAAAAGGCAGGAAGAGGAAGGGGGGGGGAGCAGAAGGGGGGAAAAGCTTCCGAACGGATCAGTTTGCCCCAGCGCAGGAATTTCCCATCCTGTAGTGGCAAAGGCCACGGCAGCCCCGTGCAGTGGAGAAGGTACTAGTTTAAAATGATCACGGGCCTCCCTCCCTATCTGATCTGAAGCTCTTCGTTGGAACGAAGCGGGAGAGTGAAACACTTTTAAGAAACAGAAATATTCCTGAAGTGGGGAAGGTGATCACTAGTTTCAACTCCTCCCCTTACCTGCTTCGAGGTGGCAAAGAGCTGAGAGAGACTGTTATTCCCAGCTCAAGTGCCCGTGCGGCTAAGGAAAAGGCTTTGCTTAAAAATATATATCTATAGAACTATACATATAGATCATCTTTTTAGAGACACTCTGATTTTATTACATAGCTCCTGGGTCACTCTCCCCCCTCCACCTACATGGTAACGGAGTGGCATACAACAGAAGCCACACGCATCGAATTAGCAATCAAAGCTTACCAGGTGACAAGAAAGTGTTTCAGTTGGTCAGATCTAAAATCCTGAATTCCCTTGCTTTGATAAGCTGATCTCCTGCTGTTGATGTAACTGGAAGGTCTTAAAAGGAAACTTCTTTTTTTTTTTTTTTTTTTTTTCTCCCAAATCAGGTTATGACAATTTCCCACCAATGTTACAGTGTGCGACAATACGCTGTAAGTCAGAAAAGTGTCACTGAACAAGACAGCGATGCAAAGATGACATTTTAAACATGTATGCATGTGGCTGGGAACCCCCAAGCATCACCCTGCAATATATAAATGCAGGATTCCTAAGGTTAAAGACTTTTTTTTTTTAAAAAAAGTTTTCTTCTTTTTTCCAATATCATTTGTATGCAAGCATTAGCTTAACAGTGGAAACTTAGTACAGAACTAGACTCCCAAAAACATGCGTCTATAAAGAAACACTGAAGGAGGTTAAGAGAGTGACTTAATCTTCAGTTTGTTATATTTGAAAAACTGGGACCGAAATTCACCCCCAGCCACTGACCCTTTAATGTCACCAATCAGTGGAAATGAGTGAATTTATAGTTACCGTCCCAAGAAAAAAAAAAAACAAAACAAAAACACAAAGACAAAAAAGCCAAAAACATCCCTACTCTTCAGAGACTAAAAAAAAAAATCGTGAGTGTGACTTCTGTTAAGGATTGACCGAGGGATGCGAAGAGGTGGGAGAGGAACAACGTGTCTGCATTCCCCGGGGGACACATCGCACGGTTTCCTCTCCCCACCGCTCCTGGCAGCCAGGCTTCGGGCAGTCAGCCAGGCTTCCCGACGGACAGCTTGGAGACGCCAGGGAGTTGGGGCGGTGGTAAGCAAAGGTGAGTACAAATGAACAAAACCACTAAACCCTGCTTCAGCATCCGATTACGTATATTAAAAAAGTCAGTGTTGAAAAAAGAGAGTAAAAACCAAGGCAAAGTTTTCTGATAACAGGCTGCAGCCTTCTCCTCTGTACATCTTCCACCAACGTTATTTCTGAGTTACGGGCGTGGGGAAGGGGGAGGAAGGACTTGAGCTCCTGCTACAGCAGCTTTCCCCATCGCACAAAACTGATGTGTAACTAACTCAGCCACGAGGATACGGGAAAGTTTTATTTATTAAAAAAAAAAGTACTTCAAAATAAAAATGATAAGTACTGTATGGTAATATCGGAAGTATTTATATACATAGTTTTCCTTGTCTTTTGTTGAAATGTCTCCTGGTCACTTGGTGGCACTTGGGGTCCCCTTGAGTGCCGTCCGCCCTGCTCCCCCCTTCCCCTCCCCGGCTCTCACGGCTCAGTAGACGGAGCTGTTCCTTATGCCACAGCACAGCACCATGCTCAGGATCATTTCAAAGATCTGTCGGGAGACACAGGGGCACCCGTGAGGCGCCGACCAGTACAGCGCAGGAGCTCCCCCCGTCCCAAGGTCCCCCACTCCGCATCAACTCTCATGCCAGAGAGCAGGGCAGAGACGCTCCGTCTTCGCTGCTGTTTTCCTTAGGAGCTGGCCAGTCGGAGGTAAGACGTTCGCTGCCAGCGACACAGCAACTGCTCCGAGATCCCGCCGGCGTTGCACCTTTGCGCAGGCGCTGGGTTACCAGCTCACCCCGCCCACCGGGCACCAAAACCACCACGGGAAAGCAACCAAACCCCTTCCCCACTGCAGACCCCAGTGACAAAAACCCGGTGGCCTGAGAAACGAGGCTCGACGGGGTTCTGCACCCTTCTTGCGCGGGGTTGCAAGACGCTCCTGGCTTTACCACGCTCGCCAGGCACCTTGCCCTCATGTCCCAACCCGCCGGGGGGGGATGGCAAAGCCCTCCGTCTCACCACATCCCAGAGCAGCTGGGGTGCAGGGGACTGGTGCTGAGCCCCAGGGGCATCTGGAGGAGAGGGACGCATCCAGCCCAGCTGGAACAGGACCGGGTGTCCCCAAGGCAGCTTTGCCCCATCCCACAACAGCAGGGCGCTTACCATGATCACAGCAACCACGATGGCAGCGATCCCGATCAGGTACAGCTTCCCGGAGAACAGCTCGTCGATTTTTTTGTGGCAGTTTGAGGGCTGAAGCAGAGAAGCACGCCAGTCAGAGAGCCTGCTTTCCCCTGGCACCCAGAAAGGCAGGTCTGCTTCCCCCCAGTTCCTGGCTCTAGGACTTCCCACCAGCCTCCACCCCTCCGTGCCTGCCAGCCCCCTCAAGCAGCAACAGCATCGGAAGAACCAATGGGAACCTCTGATATCCCTCTGCACCATCCCCAAATAAATGAAATCTCTACCCTTTACCTAATTCCCAATAAATCCCCCAATTTCCCTAGCAGCCTGGTTTCCTCGCAGGAGCCGTGCTGAGCGGAGAGCAGCTGTGCTTACCTCACCAAGGTTTTTCAGGAAGGAGTCCTTTGGGCAGAGGTCATCTCTCCACAGGGGAGTGATAGCTCCTATTATATTATCAGGACCACAGCAGTCCAGCTACATGGGGAGAGGGGAAGAAAAAAAAAAAAACAAAAACAAACCCAAAAAACTAGTGTTAACAGACAGCAAACACTCATGCAATGTTCTCCCCACCATTAAACATCCTTGAAGCCACCCGAGACCGAGGAGGCATTGTGGAGGGGGAAACAAGGGAAGAGGAATAACTCTCCAAATTCAAATTTTCTTTCTATGCAATGCAGCTGCTTCCTACAATAATCCCAGGCAGGTCTGGCACTGGTATCCTGGAGGAAAGCAAACCCAACTCTCTCCCGAGATTTTGCTTCCTGCTGAGCAGAGGAAGTATTGGGATTAGTTCCTCAGAGCAACATTTTTCTTCCACTGAATTTTACTTAATTGGGAGTGCTGAGGAAAATGAAAAGCAACTCAATTAGAGCTGGGACCAGATTTCCTAGCACAGCGTGAAGGACAGAATATTGACGAGGGTGCGACCCTGTTTCTCGGCATGTAAGAACAGCAAACTCAACAGGCTAAGACCTGAATGTAGCATCATCTGCTTTAGACCCTGCTTTTCCCATTCATTTTCTTGACTCCCATTTTTAATCCTCCTTCCTCCTACATTCTCATTTCCTCTGGCTGCAAGAAACTCCTATGGAAAGGAGACTTCTACATAGAGCTTGGAAAGCAGGCAGCAAAATCCCAGTGCTGAGAACACATTTGATCCAGTTTGCTCCTAAGCATGAAAAAATCCAACGTTCCCTTCACTCCCTGCCCGAGGACTGGTAGTTCGACATAGTGCCTCTGCCTCGGTGGGGAGGATCAGCCTGTGCTCCTCACCATTTGCTCGCTGACAAACGGCACGCAGCAGTTAACGGGGTGTAATCTGCAGCATGTGGGATCCCATCCACCAGCGGCTGCTTTGGCCAACTGCGCGTAGCCTGAGCAGAGCGTGCAGCAAGACCGCCGACGCCTTACCGTTTCATGAAAGGTCTTCACTACAGCCTTCCCATTGTTCGTCTCCGATTCTGCCATGAGCGCTTGTTGAAACGCTTGATCGTAGAACTGCTTCACGTCTTTGGCTATCTGGGAAAGACAGGGGGAAAACTCCCTTTCAGCCAGAGGAGAAGGAGGAAACCCAGCCAGCAGACGTGCCCGAAGGGGACAGGTTCCCTCTGATGGCACTCACGGGTAGATGAGCAGTTTTTAAATCGATTTGGACCCTGTTTATTTGCACAGGTGTGTGAAAAAAAGGCCTGTTCTTCATAGGGCTCAAGTCCCTCCAGCTGTAGTGTGTTAAGAGCAGCAAATAGCATATCCAGCAGGTTCCAGCCCACGCTATCCAAGTGCTCCGTGAGGTCTCTCTCTGAGGCAGAGACAGCCAAGGCCCGGACGGTGAACCACAAGACCCGAGATAGCCTTCAGCCCACTTGGATTTGCTGTTGGGCTCAGGCTTGTTCTGAACCACCCGACGCAGGGAGAGAAAGCAAGCAAGCAACACGTTTCCCACTGAAGCTGCCGGGGCAGGACACGCTGGGGAAGTCAGGAGGAGGTGGGGTGTACAAGCAAGGCCATCTGTACGTATGGGCACCTTGGCTTACTGTCTGGCTTGCAGAGGATGGCAGGAATTCGGGAGGGATTGCACACTAAAGCCTAGTGAGGCGGCTCATTTGGGTCAGGAAGCTTAGGTGCTTTTAGATGGATGTCAAACTCCGGGTGCCTGCCTGGAGCTGGGCACCCTCATCCTGAAAATTGTTATATGAGAAGTCTCATTCGTACTCTAGCCCTGCCACCTGGGCTGGTAAACTGCAGCCACCCACGGGCCTCTGCTCCACAATGCAAAAAAAACCCCTCATTTGCAAGGAAACTGGCCTTGTGGCTTCTCCTCTAACACCCGTCAATAATTTGCAAGAGATAGATGAAAGGAGGACATGCAAGAGAAGCAAAAGAAAAAAACATGAGCAAGCATGAAAGGGAAAAAAGCTTTTCAGAACATCTGCTCTTGGCAGCGGAGGCTGGATTAGCACATGGAAAAAGAAACGGCAGCAAGGAGCCTGATTTCAATCAATTATCCCAGCATTTTTCTGTCACTGCTCAAAAAAGTTTGCTTTGGAGGGCGATGTTCTTCAATCAAGCCATTTGATTCTGGTACATAGAAAAAAAACCCAAAATAAAATAAATCCCACTTCTCGCCTCCCCATCCTGTATCTAGAGCATCTCCAAGAAGGCAGGCTGAGGGAGAGACTGCCTCCAGCTTTGTGGAAGAGCATCCTGTGCCCCTGTGACAGCGGACGGCTGTCCCTGCCAGGGTCTGCAGACCCAGGGGGAAGGGTGACCCCGCTGGGAGCAGCTCTCGGTGCCTGGGATCATCCAGCGCTTCCCTCCCAGCCCGCATCGCTCCCGGGATGCCCCCGACCGAGGCAGGGAGAAAAGAGCTGCTTGCTTTGTAAGCAGGGACTTCCCAACAGCCTCCTCATCATCAGGGCTGCAGAAGCAGCTGAGGCCAACAGACTGCCACTGTTCATTTTAAACAGCACAATTAACTTTAGGGGCTGAGGTCATCGCTCTTCTACTGACAAATCCTAAATTTCTCATCTTTATGCTCTGACGGCCAAACGCCTCCTCCCCAGCAAGGAAAGCAACAGCCATGGGGTTCCTCCTTGCTCAGGCTTCACTTTTTTTGCTGTCATTTAGGTTGCACATCTTGGGCTCTTCAGGATTCACAAACTAACATCCGCAGGAGGCACAGCCCCTCTGCAAAGGTTAATTAGCTGGACAAAGTTGCTAGGAAACAGCATTCTCTCTGCATAATAATATGTTTAGCCACGGAAGAGTTTATTTCGGTGAAGTCATGCTCTCCCTGGTGAATGACTACAAGGGTGTTCCCATTCACGGCCGGGCCGGTCATCTGTGGCCTACACGAGGGTGAAAGCCGAGCGGGCCACCACCTACTCACACAGCTGGCTCACGCCTCTTAGCAAAGTAAGCACATTTCCTACGCCACGCAGCATATTGATCAGCAGCAAGCTCAGTCCTGGCAGACCGACAGCCCGAAGAGGGTTATGTGACACTGGCAAAGAGCAAGAAGCATCAAGCGATCCCGTTAACGCGGACGCAGGCTCTCCCGTACGGTATTCCCTCCCTTCGGGGCCACGGGGCGGGGTTCACTCCTTGCTCCTTGGCACCTAGGACGTGCAGATGGCTTTCCTTCACGACTTCATACACGAATCAGCTCACGCTGTGACTGACAGGTTGGCAGCAAGGAGGGGACCCAAGCGAGACAGGGCTATTTTTACTCTAGATTTTGCACTATATACCGTAAGGGGCAGCTGCTACCATCAAGTGCTCACATTTAAATAAAGTTCATCGGCCTGGCCAAGAGGAGCTAGGTGGCCCTCCCAGGTCACACAGCTAATCCAAGCCCTTGTGTCTCAGCCCAGGAGCAGCGAGCGAGCAAAACAGCTCGTGCCAGGACCTGCTGTGGTTCTGCCCCAGCCTCCCAGTCCCACAAATGCAAGTTTCGGAGTCGTCTTACTTGGTCTTTGTTGACAAATCCCCAAATTCCAGCCGCAACTTCACAGGCAAACAGGATCACCAAGCAAGTGAAGAACTGCAAAGACAAATCAAGAGAGGGACACTTAATGTAGCTGGCTACAGGCAAAAGCAGCAATTAGGTGGGTAGAGGTGTGGAGTGGCACTTCTGCTGACGGAGGAGATCAGGGCAAGGTGTTGCCTCACTTCAAACTGTTTTCTCTTTCATATACACGCTTAGCCTGAAAACATTTTCCTCTAACTCATCAGATGCCACTCCACATCCAGACTTCCCCTGGGATGGCTGAGTGGGGTTTAGCAGAGCCTTTCCCACACAGGGACTGGCAAGGACGAGGATGCCCTGTGCACCACAAGGCACACTGCTCCTCTTCATGCACCTGCAGGACTGTCCAGACAAGCTTCTTGTTCTGCCACAGATCCTTCAAGGATGGGAATTGCCAGTGAAGGGTTAAAAGCACATTTCAGCTGCTGAGGAGTTGCAGGGCGTCAGGGTGTGATTTATGGCCAGCTCTCTTGGCATCCACAGCTCTGCAAGGCTACTGCAGTTTTTTGCATAAATACTAACACTGATGTTTTCCCACTGTCCCACCCTGTTCGTGCAATTCCAGCACTCCTCCCTGCCATCCCCCCGCAAAGCCTCCCTCCATCTTTTTGTTGGGATCCCGGGAGCATGTTGTGACGGTCAGTCTGCTAGACTGGGAATGGGAAGCCGCAAAGCTCATACATCAGAGTCAAGTGGGAAGGCATGGACGGGCACAGTCCACATGCAGCCAACATTCAGTGTGACTTCTTCCTGGGAAAAGGCCCGAACTGGGAGAGTTGCCATGGAAGTAAAGAATCAAAAGAGGTGAATGCAGTCAGGGGAAGACATAAAATCATGGTACGGGGTGGGAAAGCCCCTGGATCCTAGGCAGTCTCTCTTCCAGACACATTCAGGACATTTTCTTCAACAACAGAGGAAACTGGAGTTCCCAGAATGATGCTATGACCTGGCTCTCACATGCAAGAGCAAAGGGTTATCAGCAAAATAGAAACAGGACTATTGACGTGACAGCAGGAAAGGACTTGCCACATCCTTGCCCAGTCCCAGAATAAAACAGCTGCTCTTCAAACACCTATCTACCTCTGGTTCTCCAGCGACACCTTTGGGGTACTGGGTCCCACATCCCCCCAAAGACTCACGTCACCCTAAGCTGCAGGCCCGAGGCCACTGTGACTCTCTGGTCAAGCACTAGGGCTCACTCACTCTTGCAGTGGTTACCCTCCGGTGAGGGATGGCTCATTTACCCCGGATTTGGAGGTCCAACGTCCCGCAGACTCAGCTCTGCGGGCTGGCTGCAAAACGCCAGAGGGGCAGCGGGATGCTGTGGGAATGGGGAGGTGCCCCAGCCCCTGCGCGGCGAGCAGCACCCGCTCCCTGCCAAGCAGCTCCCCCCCGCCTTCCTCCAAGTCCCGCTGCTCGCCTTCCACGCCACCTTTGGCACAGGATTTTGATAACGTGGAGGTTCCTGGCACTTTCCCCCTTTCGCAATAAGCCGACAGTCACTCCATCAGCTGGCTGCAGGAGCGGGAAGAGCGGCTGCTTCCCTGCAACACCCTGAGGAGGCTGCCTGGAAATGTCCTTGGAGCCTTGGCCAGCAAAAGGCGTCATCACGAGGCGTCTCCAGCCTCCTCTTGGCAAGCCGAGGTGTGAGCAAACACAGGCAGCACACAGCAGCTAGAGCTGCTAATTTCAGCCGAAGCAGCCGGTTTCCCTGTCGGGCCTCAGGTACGTTGTACCATCTGCCCTTCTAATCCTCTTTCCAACTTCAAGAGGGAGCAAGGGGTAAACTCAGGTTCTGTAATCGCTTGCGTTAACAAAAAAAAAAAATAATCCAAAGCTGCCAGACCTCACTACAACCAACCCTGTCGGATTTGTGCATGGGCTCCTCCTATTCTCAGCAGCAGGGATAATGCCTGCAAGCTCCCACAGCAGCTCTCATCCACGGACGGTCAGAAGTGCTTTATAAAAGCTGGTGAGAAGCAACCCCTTCTTACTGGGAAACAGAAGCAGCCAGAGGTGAGGCAATCTGTGAGAGAGAGGAAAAGCGGCTCCATTTCCCTCTGTCCCAGCTGGATCCATGCCTGTGAGTCACTACAGCACCAGCCTAGTGAAGCCAAGTGCTGAAAAGTCCTTCCAATCATATTTATTTATTTATTTATTTGACATTTTACCCCTCCAATTTTTTTTTTAGCCCTTCAGTTGTTATTTATTTATTTTTGTTTGCATCGAGCTTAAAGCTGAACCACATACATGAACTTGCTTTAAATCAGTGGGTCTCCCTCAACCCCCAAGGCGAAGGCTTTTGGTGTGGCTACAGTTTATAGAATTAAGTTCCTCCCGTGCCAGGAATCCTGAGCTGCTGCCTTACATCAAGGACGCCTGGAGTGCTTCAGTAATGGATTTTCCAGGATGTACCTAGACATCCTCACTCAGATATTGTGGGAAACCTTTGCTGCTGTTTCCTCGTCCAAACAGATACAAATAGTAGGAAATGAAAGAACTGGAATTGCCACAGGCAGCCTTGAAACCGAGTGAAAGGGGAAGCTGGTGTCCCCCCAGCCTCCTTTGCTGGAAAAGGCTCCGGCAGGAGAGGCACGGCCGCCGGGCAGGGAGCTCACGGTGCCAAGCGGCGCCCGAAGCTTTGCACCTCTTACCGTCCCCAGAAGGCACTGAGACTCCTGAATAGCGCCGTAGCATCCCAGGAACCCCACGAACATCATGACAGCTCCGACTGCGATCAGGATGTAGATTCCTGCAAGGGAAGAGGGAGAGGCAAGCCCGTTACTGCCGGCGCGGGACGGCAGCGTCCGCAGCGCCCGGCCGGCCGCGGCGCGGGACCAAGGCCCCGCAGATGTGAGCAGAGGTGCTGGCACAACACAACACGCACGAGTCGGGTCTCAGCGTAGCACCAGGACTTTAAAACCCCCCAGAATCAGAGGAAACGCAGCGAGCTCGAGCAGTAATAGGCAGAGGATGTAGCAGGCTCAAAGCCGCAGTATGCTTTGTGCGTACTACACAAAGCAGAGGAGATGAAAATGATTACTTAGCATACCTTTTAAAATGAACAATAAGGCATTCAGTTTATTTATATTAAACATCATACAAATATTTATCTGGCTAACATTTTAAAGGCAGACAAGCCACAAAACAAAGGGAAAAGCACTGCTTAAGCATCTCATTTAATATAATCTGGCTGTTGTTTGTTATAGGTTCTTCTACAGAGAGGAAGACATCTTTTACTTCAGCTTATTAAATCTGCACAGTCAACTTACTCCGTAACTAGTTCAAAGCTTGGAAACTAGGCACTGGGGGGGTGGGGGGGTGGCTCATAAAACAGAGGAATGGAAGTTTATTTATCCAGGAAACAAGAGCTTAGCTCAAGGCCCAGGTCTGCTGCTGCCAGTAATCACCACTGTCTCACCGACTGTAAGATTGTCGAGACCATGGTGATGACTCAGCCAAATGCTACAGCTCAGTTAAATTTGTTTCCTTTTCCAAAAACAGTTTTCTCCTGGTGTATCCTGTCTATTTAGTGTATTTTTGGTTCTGGCACTGTGGTTCTACTACTTTGTAAGTGAAATCCACCTTCCATTCAAAAGCAATTTGACACATGCAAAAAATAATCAAAGAAATAATTACAAATGAAGCAAGACTGCAGTCACAGTTTTTAACTGACAGCGAGAAAAAAAAATAATCAGGATGATGTACACAGGGCTTCCCAGAGGTAAAGGCAATACAGTGAACCTTCCTAGTGCTTGGGAGATATGTCCCTTCAACAGAAAGTTTTCTTTTGCTCTGAGTCAAAATGTTTTTATAGTTACTAATCAGTTTGTCAAGTCCCCCTTAGGAACAGCACTAAAGCATAAACAGACCTCCAGATTAAAACTGCTTGTACATGCCTGCCATAGTTAAGGTTTTTCTTATCTTCGTAGCTTTCAAACAGTCTTCTGATAATGAAAGTGTGAAGTCTAAAGGGCATGCACTGAGGGCAGAGTTAAACCAAGTTAAACCCTTCCCTAAAAAAAAAAAAAAAGCCAGAAACATAATAACAGTCTCAACTTGTTTTAAATCCCCTCTACAGACATGCCAAACTCGGGAAAGGCTGAACTTCAGCTCCCGCTTCTTCCCTCTTTAAAACGCAAGTCCCCAGTGCCCAACCAGCCCCAGGGCCACCGGGGCGTGAGGTGGCCCCGCTCTGGCCCACGAGGCCTCCCACTCGAATTAGGAGCCGTGGGAAGGAGGGAAGGAAGGAGGGAAGGAAGGAGGGAGGGAGGGAGGGAGGGAGGGAGGGAGGGAGGGAGGGAGGGAGGGAGGGAGGGAGGGAAGGAAGGAGGGAGGGAGGGAGGGAGGGAGGGAGGGAGGGAGGGAGGGAGGGAGGGAGGGAGGGAGGGAGGGAGGGAGGGAGGGAGGGAGGGAGGGAGGGAGGGAGGGAGGGAAAGAAGGAAGGAAGGAAGGAGGGAGGGAGGGAGGGAAGGAAGGAGGGAGGGAGGGAGGGAAGGAAGGAGGGAAGGAAGGAGGGAGGCAGCTGCAGGGGAAGCGCCAGCACAACGGAGCACGCTGACCCCTCGCCGCAGGAAGCCCCTCTTCACAAAGCCCGACGGCATCCGTGGCCGGCGACAGGCGCGAGTCGCACCCCCTGAGGCGCCCTGAAGGGGCCCCAGCAGCACCCCAACAAGCAACTGGGCTGCCGGAGCTCGCCGGGTGGGGAACGAGACACCTCCTTAACTTGAAGGTGCAAAGACAAGGGAAAAAACAAGCAAAAGAACCCCCGCCCCGGAGAGTTTCTTGGAAAGGACGGGCCAGCAGCTACAGGTTTGTGTGCCTGCCTGAAGTAGAAGTGGGCGACTTCACCCCAGCGCCTGGAGGCGAGGTGGAGCGGCGGTGGAGCGGGGCAGCGTGGTGAGCGGTGGGCTGGGGGGGCCCCAAAGGGGCTGGGGGCGATGGGGAGGCACAAACATCTCCTGCAAAATGAAAGCTGCTGGCTGGATGCTTGCCAAGCTCCAGAGAGACTGACGGAGGTTTTCGGACACTACACAACCGCTGTTTCAAGAACAACCAGTCTCTCATCAGCAGTGGTCTCTCAAATAAGGGTCTGCTTATTGTCACCACAATCTGCTAGTGCCCAAGAACCAGCCCTCGCCACTCCAGCTTGTACCAGCGATGCTGCTGGTTTGGGTTTCCAACCCAAACCGTGTCAGGTCTTTCCATCTTACAGGTTTGGATGGCTCCACTTGGAGAGTCTTCATCACAAGTCGCTCTGGGAAAATCAACTTTGCTCATCCCTGAGCACAGCAGCTGCTGACTTCTCCTCCCATTAGGTCAGCAGAGAGAAGACAAAGCTGGGCTGGGGGGCAACTCATTTCGATGTCTGAGAAGTCACTGTTCATGCTAACCACCCCAGCAGATGGGTAAGCAGCAGACGCAACACATCTGGAAACCAAGCAACATGATGCTGCAGGAACGCCAACGACCAGCTCACTCCCATGGATGGACTGCGGATTTTATTCTCAAATTCTTCAAAATAAACACTGAAGGCAGCTCCTAGGCTGAACAAATATAGCCAGGAGATCAGAGAGTCATAGAACAGCCCAAGTTGGAAGGGACCTCAGAAGATCATCTCGTCCAACCTTTTGTGAGAAAGGGAGCCTAGCTGAGACTATCCAGCACCCTGCCCAGTTATATCTCGAAAACCTGCAGCGATGGGGACTCTACCACGGCCCTGGGGAGGCTGTTCCAGTGAATGGTTGTTCTCACAGTAAAAAATGTCTTTTTTTTGTTGACATCATCAGGAAAACATAGGAGCCACTGGCAGCTAGGAAAGTTTTGCTCTGAGAACTAGGAGATAAAAGTCCAGCGAGAACCTCAACTGATAGAGGAGACTAAAAGGGAACAAAGACACTTGCAGTTTTATGGAAGTCTTCTGGAGGCCTCTGTCCTTGCTTCTTGCTGGGATCTGTGCAGCTTCAGAAAAACCAAAACCAAACCCAACCTGCTGAACTCCCACCCCAGACAGGCTGTGCAGACCTCGGGCAGACATGCGAGGTCCCGGCTTCCCGCTTCTCTCTCCGCTCACGCTTTGCCAACCCCTTGCCAGAGCCAGTGCTGCTGTTAAGCCAGAAAACAGCAAGAAGTAAAGGAGGGAAGGAAAGGGAAGGGAAGGGAAGAAGACGTGTGGTTTCCTGACCAGAGCCCAGCGGATGCGACCGGTGGGGTGGGAGCAGCAGGAACGTGCAGGCAGGAGGGGGAGAGGGCGGCGATGACTGGCCTGAACTCAGAAAACCACAAAAAACCCTGGAAGGCTTTTGGGACAAAGGCCAGCTTCATTCTCAGGCACAAACAAGTGGCCGTTATGGAGTCGCCTTTTGTTACCAAGGGCCAGAGCACTGCAGCCTCCTGGGAGGCAACGGAGCGGGACTCTGCTCTGGAGTTTATTTAAAAACAAGAACAAAATATTTGGTGCAACAATAGCATCTTGTAAGATGAATGCTGGTGGTGTTTCTCCACAGAAATGCCATGCTGAAGGCTGCAAAAGCAAACGAAGGCAACCAAAGCACCCAACCACACACTTTGGATGGTGTTTGTTTTCCCACACCCAGCCTTCCCCTCAAGGGATGGCCGGTGGCCAGGGGGTCTCTGCCTCCAGACTGGGTGCCAGGCAGCTGGGGGACTATTTCACGGCAATCACAGGCCAAACGGGAATGACCAAGCCCTCTTCCCGGAAAGTAACCTGACACACCTTAGCCTTCATTCCTGGCAGATGGTGAGGATGACAGCCAGCATGGTTTCGGGCTCCATGTCTGTGAGCAAGGCACCTGTCATCCCCGTCCTGAATGGCACATTATCCTCCTTAAAGTCAGAGGAGACTCTCCCCAGCACAAGCCTCCTCACTATGTAAGCATCAGAGACGGGATTAACTCCTGCTAGCCTGTCCTGGGTGAGAAACTCTTCACCAAAGCGGTATTCACTCCTTCAGGGCTCTACCCGAAGCACAAGTCTTGCAGCTTTCTCAGGGGTTTTAAAACAAGAAATGCTGCTTGCCATAAACAAAAACATAAAATCAGAGAGGTATAAAACGCAAACTGCAGTGCCTACAGTCATGCTGCTCCCTCCAACAGCAGCAGTATATAATCCTGAGAATAGCCAGAGCTGCAGCAACAGGTACAGCGAGCAAATCATTTATAGGTGTTCATGGCACCGTCGTGCCTCCAAATCCCTGAGCAATGCTACAGTGTGATTTCTAACCCCACGGCACAGTTCTCTGGTAAGGCAGCAGTAAGCAAGATTGCTACAGCCGCCACGCATAACCAGCCACCCACGAAAGCAAGCTGTGAGCCACAAGACCTGAACCTTGGGGCTGGGAAGTCACAGGAGGACTCGTAGAGACAAGTGTTGTCAATATTGCGTGGAGTCCTCTACCTCTTTTTGAGACGGAGACTTAAAATAGAAAGCTTTAGGAAAGAGGGCCAACCAGTCTTAGCTTCGCCTCCTTGTTACAAAGAGGTTCAGGGTCCTGTCTGAATTCAAAGCGGGAACACAGCAACTGTGATACGGTCTCTTTGCTCAAGAGCATCAGGATGTGATGCATCAGAAAAAGCAGCAGCAACGGACCAAACATCATCCCCCCATCCCTGATGCAACCAGGGTGCATGCTCCTTTGGGCTGCAGGGACCTCCTAAAGCTTTAGCCACCCGGAAAGTCCCCGAACATCAGACCCAGGGGACTGATAGTAATCACTTCTCTCTGGATGGTGCT